AGCATGCATGCTGTCACTACATAATTGACAATTCAAGGGAAGATTTCTGTGAAATGTCAACTTATTGTGGATATTCTATATGCCTTCTATTCACTTCCCATAAATCTATTTCTCCTTTCTGTCTCTCTTTCTGAAAAATACTGGAAAGCCAAGATCGAGCTGGCTTCAACACAGTGTCAAAACAAAACAGAGCTTCATGTTTGAAGTGTGTTGTGCTAAGTATTCAGTGTTGAATCCCTGTGAACAGTGGCACCAGTGTGGAGGTGTGTGGGGCACAAAAGTGTCTTTTAGCACATCAGGTTTCAGCCTGGTTTGCAGTGTGGCTCTACGGCATTATAGACAGTGGTGCACCCAGACATTTTTAGTATGTGTGGCTGGACGGAGCCAGTGAAAATCTTGGGGTGCCACGCCAAAAGAAATAGTTATAATGCAATTCTTAGGATTTTGATAATGCAATGAAAATGAACTTGCCAAAATTTAGCTGAACTTTGGCTTATGGTTGTTATACATGGATGCTTTAGGTTGTCTAGTTTCACAAAATATCACTACCTTTGCACCACAGCCTGTTAAAGTATACAATATGGACCTCTAATTATTTTTGACAGGGGAGGCCAGAGGGGCAAGTTCCAGCAATTGTATCAGAGGGGCCATGGCCCCCCTGGGCCCCACTTGGCGGTGCCACTGTTTATCGATCCATCTCCTTGATCCAGAATGAAATATTGGATGGATTACCATAAAACTGAGTACTGAGCTTTTCCTCCAGTCTCACCACAGGGCTCTCACATTTGTGGTTTTAAGCAAAATGTTTTCACCAAGCATCAGATTAATTTTCCTGAAATTTGATACAGACATTCATGTCCCCCCTTCAGAGTAAACATTTTGTTTGTTCAGTATTGCAGTACAACCAAATACCTGCAAAACTAATGACATTATTCATCAGTCTCAGCTGCACTTTGTGTTTAATGCTAATTGGTGGATATTAGCCTGCTACAACGATGATGATCATGCTAAACATTATACTTGTTAAACAATTTTTCTTCATTTTATTTGATAGGGATGATGCAATTTAACATATTTCCAATACAGAATATGAGATGGTTGCAACACATTCTCACCCCAACTTTGTCACATATCGACGTTTGGTCATGGACCTTCCACATCCAGATACGTAAAAGGTACCCTGGCTGTGTTGGTTGTTGACGTTCTGTGACACCGTGTCAAGTTCTGCCTGTTACATGCATTGTCTTCTTTCAAAACACACTTCCGTTCTCACAGGAAATTTACCATTTACATACAGTGTCTCTCAAAATAAAAGCACTGTCAGTACAACAACCCGAATTGATGGGTTTTTTTTTCCTTCACAAGTAACACACATGGTTGGGTTTAGGCAACAAAAATACGAGGTTAGGTTTAGGAAAAAAACAACAGGGTTTGGCTTTAGAATCTTACAGGACATGAACACTGTTCTCCCGGGTGAAAGTCAGTGTTTGTTGGAAGGATTTTAACCTGTAATACGTTTGATTTCAGCATGTTAATGTTGTCATTATGAGTATGTTAGCATTTAGCTCAAAGAACAGTTGTGCAGAACTGCTGGCATGTCAGTAGACTCTTCTTTGGCTGGCCTCTGTTCTGGTTTAACCTGACACCCAATCTGGAAATCCATCCGTTAAAAAAAAAAAAAAAAACTTTTTTTTTCTTCCTTTACCTCTGGAGGCACAGCCCGGAGTTTTTCGACTAACGGAAGTGCAGGGGCCTCGGCGATCACTCACGCCCTTCACTTCCGGCGGTGCCCCCAGGGAATCGCCGTGTTGTTTACAAATACTTAGGGTAGAAAACCAGCAGAGTTTAGCTATATATCACATTTTTCACATCACTATATCACCGTGTAGACTAATCTGATGTTTGTAAAGTCTATAAACACAATGATTAAACAAACATTACTATTTCTGTGTGCACGTTTTGTAATTAATAACATGGTTATCGTAGATTAGCTGGGCTAACCGTTAGCTGTGAGCGTTAGCCGTTAGCGGTGTCTGTAATAACCATAGACTGTATAAAAATAAGGTAATAACTCAATAAACGGTCCGTGAATAAAATATTTTTTCTAGCGGATATCTTAGTTACAACATGATTAAGCTAGCAAAGTAGTTTTGTGTTGCTATGTGTGGTATTAGCTCAATCATGTTGTAACTAAGACATCCTCTGGAAATTTTTTTTTTTTTTTCACGTTGACGAGACGGCGTTTTGGGTGGAGCGGTCGCTATGGACGCGGGTCTTGCTGTTTCTGTAGGTACACATTTCCTGGGGACACCTGCACGTCTTGGTCACGCCCCCTCCATTGTGATTGGCTAAAGCGCAGCATGTTCAACTCAAAGCCCCGCACCCCCCCTCCAGTTATGTAAATGTACAACCTTACAATTGAGTCCACTGCAGATGACTGCATTTGTTTGAGTGTAGTGCCACTGTGCCACTCTCATAAGCTTGGAGTCATATACAGCTAATCAAGGTTGCCAGCAAAGATAAATCAAGTCCAAAGCTAAAAGGTCCATTCAGAATGTGCACTGGCTTTCCGTGAAATGAAAGTATTTCCCATTCAACAAAACACAGGCTGCCAGTTGCATGCTTTGCCATTTCTTTCGAGGCCTATTCAGTTGTGGGAGGTGACAGATTATACAAAAATACTAAAAGAGTCACAGCGTCATCAGCGTGGTGAATAATCATTCTCTGTCTGAAATGTGAAAAACAATGCAGGGGTATTAATGGGAAACTTAACTGCTGCAGTTAAATTCAGGAGATTTCCGGAGATATTTTTCCTGGACACCAGCAATAGGCACGTCATCTTTTTTAATGCAAGCCAAGTCCTTTAATATCAGCAATGCTGGTGAAACTATAGAGTCTGGCAGATTCATATACCTCCATCCCCACCACTCTGCTCCCCCCATCCTTTACTATTATAAAATGCAAATGTTATGTCACCCACTTCACGCAGAGATAAATCTGTTATTTCAAGCATTACTGCAGAGAGCCTCACCACCCCATCGTTCTCATTGCTGCACCAGTCACATAGTGATAATTTACACCCCAGCCCTTCTCATTGATACTGTATTTCATAACCATTTCCTTTCAATGACTGTTAAATTAATTAATTTCGAGATGCTACCACTTATGAAACAGGAAAAGAGGCATATCTTGGCTTCCCAAAAACATGATTAGATCCAAATGATGGAGCAGGATGGTGCGCTGTATGATGAAGTACTGTTGGAGAAGTAACTCTTTTTTTAAGATAAGATAAGATAAGATAAGATAAGATAAAATTTATTGTCCCAAACGGGAAATTTGTTTTGAGCAGATAGTGTGAACTGAAAGAAGTCTCATCTAACCTTACCAGTCAATAGTGCTAAGGTTGAAACAAGTAACAATATGGATATCAATCAGCATGCAATATAATATAATAATCACCCACATTTCTCCATCTCATCACCAGGTAATTATTAAGAAGACGAGCCAAGAGTTTCATCAATAACCAGAAAGTTAAAACAGCCACAGTAACAGCTTTCACACTCTTTGAATAATATGGTAAATGACAATTTTGTTTTCATAGTTCTGGCCAATTCTTCTCTTTGTTATCGTGGGCGTAGTTTTCATTTCAACATTAGGGGGACACATGAAACATGCAGTTTTGGGGTCTTACACCAGAAAAGCATCAAATTCCATATTTCCTGCATTTTGGTGAATATTTGTGCACCAATTTCTGCCTTTTCTGCATCAATTTATGGTGTAAATGTCTTAAATTTTGTCAAAATAAGAGCCCTCTGCTACTTTCATGTTCTTATTTTGGGGGGGACAAATGCACATGTACCACAGGTGGCTTTAACTCAGAAGGTAGGGCGGGTCGTCCACTAATCCGGTCCACATGTCGAAAGTATACTTGAGCACAATACTGAACCCCAAATTGCTCCCGATGGCTATTCCATTGGTGTGTGATTGTGTTTAATACTGAGTAGCAGGTGACACCTTGTATGGTAGCCTCGGCCACCAGTGTATGAATGTGTGTGTGAATGGGTGAATGTGATTTGTGGTGTAAAAGGCACTATGAGTAGTGGAAGACTAGTAAGGCACTATACAAGTGCAGGTCCATTTACATGTTGTAAATATTGACAGGGGTGTTTCCCCTGTGACCCCCCTAAAATCTATACCTACAGTATCTTTATAATTACATCATCTAACATCTGAGATCTCAGAACACCACATCCATAACACTAAGTCTGGTGGGGCAAGAAACTCGAGCACACAGATGATCAAAGAGAAAACAAAGGCAAACAGTAAAATAATTCAAATTGTCCACCATCTTCCTGGTTCTGCATTGACCTGCTCTGCTAACCAAATGTGTGCAGCCACAGTTACTCTGTGCAACAGTGGAAAATTTCTGTTTTACCTCCAAATAAAGTGTTAAGACTCAGATCATCAATTTAAAGCCTTGGTTTGTTTACAGCTTGCAAGAGTGGGGGCGGAGCTTCTGAAGAAGCACTTGTGGTTGTTTTGGTTTTGAGTTCTATTATCAAGAGTCTTTCTTTAGAATAACAGACTCCACCTTTAATGTAATATGTCAACCTAACCGATAAAAACAATAGTCAAAGCTGCTAGAATCAGACCTGAGTTCTAATGGAGCTGTTCTTTAAATCCTCGTCTGTATAAAAGTATACACTATAGTTCATAACCTGTTTTTATTGCCTTTAAAAACTAAATAAATAAAAGATGAGAACATAAGAGAACACAAAAATAATTTACTGAAAATCAATTTTTGTCTATATTTTAAAAACAGTTGACATTTTTTAAAGATACATTGAATGTTAATGGTAAAGGTATAACAAAAATATCTTGTTGTACACATTTAGCTAAAGGTCAAACGGCATTAGCGTCTAGCTTTACAAAAATGTGAGACCTAGCAAACACTGGTGAGTGGCCCACCTGTAAATACGAACAGAACAGTAGTGCACATCTTCGACATCATATTTTTATATCAAATGATATCATAATAAACATATTCAAACTGTGGTAATTCTCCTGACGTTCTTGGGGCTTTCCTCTGATAGACACACCTGGGCTTGGCTCTCACTGTGTAGGGAGAGGTTGCTGGAGGACACGATGTCCGGGACCTGCGGCACATCATCGAATTTAGGTTACAGTGACAATACATCAGGTAATTTTCTGCAGAACTCTAAAATGACAATTCCTGTCCTGAAACATTTTTCCTACATGAGTGCAGCAGTGCCACTGTGGAGGTTTTTATGTATTGTAGTTGGCAAACAGTCTGGTGTACAATCACCTGCAGACCTACCTGAGGTCGACTGGAGGACAGCTATTGCCTTAAAGGTCAAGTGTGTTGGATTTAGTGGCATCTAGTGATGAGGTTGCACAACTGAAACTTCTCTTAGGTGCCAAGCATGTAGGAGAACTATGGTGGCATGTAACACGATAATGCAAATTGGCCTATCTAGAGCCAGTGTCTGATTTGACTGTTTTGGGCCACTGTAGAAACAACATGGCGGACACTGAGGGAGAGGACCCACTTGATTTTTAAATATAAACGGCTCGTTCTAAGGTTAGAACCACAACGTTTCTTATTTTCAGGTGATTATAAACTAATAAAAACAAAGTTATGAGTAATATATTCCATTTCTGCCAATATACGTCTCTAAATCCTGCACATTGGACCTTTAAAGACCTCAAAGTGACTCTCCTCCACCTTTAGTAACTTCAGATAATCCTATTACCGAACTCATTACTTCAGAGACAGTGAATCAGAACTGAACTTGTGACCTCAAGTCAGAGCTGCTCCACATCAGGCATAATTGGGAAAAGAGGCCACTTAAACCCACAAGGGAACTCTTGTCCCTCCTCCATTCATTATTAGACACCAAGATATCAATACAGTATGTTATCCTGAATCAATATCTGTTCTTCTATCACAGGTAAGGCCTAGAAACCCCCCCGTGGCACAAACACCTCATCAGCATCGACAGGCTTGAATCATGTGTGGGTGATAGCAGTATTTACAGACAGAAAAGCTGCATTTTTCTCAATTTGTGTCTCAGTGAGGACTCAGTTTAGTCCATGCCAGCATCTACACCTGTAGATCATCCCAATATTTAGACTGCAATGATGGTGATGATGAAGGAGCCACTTAGAAGTGCCCTGGAAGCTAAAAATACGGCTGCTGGCATTTTGTGAAGCCGTGAATTGTGCCAAAAAAGTTATACCACATCCCTGTCTGACATCAAGCTGCCTGATGGGAGGCCAGTGGGGGTGCAACAGTACAGCAGTGCAGTTTGTTCTTGTTTTCGTTCATGGGAGGAGCTGGCAGAAACTCCAGCTGCAGAATGAATGGCTGCATTATTCAGCTCCAGTCGACCTCTCTCTGTCTCTCTGTCTCTCTGTCACCCTGCCCTCCCACCTCTCTTTCTCTATCTTACCTTGGGAAAGCTGACAAAGTCCTCCTGCCTACGAGTTCCCATGATTACCTCATTGTAAGCTGCATCTGCAGAGTGAAAAACAGCAATTTAGCCTGATCTCCCCACGCAGCCCCTCCGACCAGCTACAGCCAACTTTGGATTTAAAGCTGACCTCAGCAAATAGTAGAAATTAGTCCATTTAGCGGCTCAGAGGCCTGAGATGTGTATCAAGTTAACACAGCATCCGAGTTTAAATCCGACTTTTGTTTCTGTCTGAGTTTGAAAAATATAAATATGATTTGTTTGATTTTCAAACCTGTATATTATGTGGTTTGTGGCTGCTCAACAGGCCATTTGCAAGTTTGCTCTGTGTGTCCCTTCAAATACTATGTTAGTAATTACTATGGCAATGTGTTGTAAGTGATAAAGCAGCTAGTAAAAGAACGATATCTTTGCATGTTTAAGTGTGTCCCATTTACTAAAACCATGCATACTTAACAGTACAGGTAACCATTTTTAGGAATTTGAATTGATTACCTGTACTGTTATCTTTGCATGTTTAAGTGTGTCCCATTTACTAAAACCATGCATACTTAACAGTACAGGTAACCATTTTTAGGAATTTGAATCGATTTTTTTCCACCATTCCAGACCTCCACTTGCTTTACTTCCTTTCTTGTACTCTATTAGGCACTGGCTTTTCCTTTTGCTCCTTGAAAACACATCTATCTTGTATATTTGTATTTTCTGCCAGATATTTAATACTGGTTGAGTTGGTTAAGTCTGGTTGTTACTGGTTGTAAATCGTTAAAATTGTGGTTACGGTCCTTAGTGTTACTGTAATTTGAAGCATTCTCTGGCACAAGAATTTCCCATGGGATAAGTAAAGCTCTATTGAATTGACTTTCCATACAATACGAACGTCAATTAGTAGACTCATGTATCTTGCTTACATTGTACGGTGTTTCCGTCCCAGTGGACATCAAGACCGTGTTACTTTTTGTTAAAGTAACACTGTTATTGTGAGGAATTATAATTAATCTTTGACAAAGAAAACAATACAGACTTTATGTTCAATGTGATAAATTACACAACTCATCGAGTCGACAATGTTGTATGCTAAATGAAATTAAACCAATACACTTCCAAAATAGCATGAATAAAACATAAAAAATCTAAAAACCTGCAGCATGCATGTAAAAATCTTCTCTCTTGAGGGTCGCGGGGGGGCTGGAGCCTATCCCAGCTGACATCGGGCGAGAGGCAGGGTACACCCTGGACAGGTCGCCAGACTATCGCAGGGCTGACACATAGAGACAAACAACCATTCACACTCACATTCACACCTACGGACAATTTAGAGTTATCAATTAACCTAGTCCCCAATCTGCATGTCTTTGGACTGTGGGAGGAAGCCGGAGTGCCCGGAGAGAACCCACGCTGACACGGGGAGAACATGCAAACTCCGCACAGAAGGGCTCCCACGCCCGGGATCGAACCGGCAACCCTCTTGCTGTGAGGCGAGAGTGCTAACCACCACACCACCGTGCCGCCCGCATGTAAAAATGGTTGGCAAAAATGTAAAATATATATATATTATTTGTCATTAAGGCGTTAAAACTAACACATGCAAACATACTGGAAAGGTTCTTTACAGTGACTAAGAATCTATTATGTGTATTGTCCTCCATCATAGTTTTTTAAAGGTATACTATGCATGATCATTAATAAATGTTTGTAAACATGCTCGCCAGCAAATGTAAAAGTTAAAGCCAACCCCAGATTCACTCTCATTTGGCATTTTGCCTGGCTGTGTTTACGTTTTTTTCACCGCTGTGTTTCAGCTGCTTATGGTCTGGCACCTAGTCGCTACCTATTTATAAAGTCACAACTTCACTTGAGCGCTGTGAGGCATCATTATTAAAACCCACTGTCATGGATTTATATAAATCTGACTTCATGACACAGTTCGTCAGAATAAAGTGAATTACTTATTACTTACAGTGTAGTTTCAGTTTACAGTAATCATGGTGAACTACGAGTCACTCTCTCACCTGTGGGGCCCTCACTTGAGTATCCGAGGTTGACCTTCCCCCCTGTTGTCTCAGCAACTGGGCTTCTCCCGCTCCCCGATTGGTCGAACCTGCAAATGCCCAAATGAATGGTCCAATGGAAAAGATAACCTTTAGCAGAGATACGGCAGAGCCATTTTGTCAGAGGCTATGCTGTTGTGAACAGACCATTTTCTTTTCTCACAAAGCTGCAGTACATCAGGGGCCCCTGCACTGTTTTCATCATAAAGTGCTTTGACAGATAAAAAATGAACATCATCATTTTTCTGTGCATTTTATTAGACCCAACCAAAGTGCTCAGCTCTCACTTCAGTGTGCTCAATGGGAAAGCTGTAAAATTGTGTTTCAGCTGCAGGGAAAATGCTGACAAATATAGTGCGTAATATATCTGCTTCTTAAATGAGCTAACGACAAATTCGAATCTTAATTAAGTTGTTACAAAATGTAATGACTATTTAATGCATGTAATTTCAAATCCATGTCCTCAATTCTATTTTATAATGAGGGACAATAAAAGCTCATTCATTCTGAGAAATAAGTTAACCGTATTAGCCCGGGCTTCATGCTGAGTCGTCATATTTGCTTATGTAAAATATAAATGGAGCTGAACACAGCCTGGACTGTACGTCGCCTCTGTTTCTTTCACAGATTATTGGCAGCCACTTTCTCCTCTGCTTCAGACTCTGCTGTTGATCTTAAAGTTATTTTTGTTAGTTTGGAAAGTGAAGAAAATCCAAGGTTTCTTAAGTCTGAAAAGATCCTCATAAAGCAGCAGGTATCAAGAAAGAGCACTTAAATCTTACCATGTAGTCTCCTGTGGGCTCGATTCTGAAAGGTAAAGAAAAAAAATGAGGCATTAAGTTTACAGAATTATAATGAGCTATCAGCCGCTACTTTATTACACTCACTGCATTGACCACAGAACCATTGTGCTTGCTCACTGCATCTACAGCAATACGAGAGCTGTAAACGTCCCGCCGTTTATTAGTTTTGGGTTCTGCACTAATATCATCGCCTCCAGTCACTTTGCAATTCAGTGGTGAAAGCTGGAGCTGAGTGTTAATGAGTTTTGTAACGCAGCTTCACGGTTGTCTTTGCCAAAGGTCCTCCTGGCCACAGCGAAAAACACAACAATATAACAATGGTGCAGATGGCACTCGCCTCAGGAGACATATAAACTGCTCCTTTTACAGGGAGAGAAATTGCCTTTGTCATTATATTTTAAATCCCTGCTGTCACGCTGGCCAAAGTCTTTGAGGGCGACTATATTAGATCCCTTCTACTTTCCCAATAATTACAAAGCATACATTACTCCCCATTGAGGTGGATTACTCAAAGAAGAGCTTAGCGGCTTGGAAGCATGCCACATCCTTTAACATGTTAGACATCCTCATGAAGTTAATTGAACTTGCTCAAGGATGTTACATTAAAGCTGTAAGGACGACGGCGACGGAGGTATCAGACGTTTCAGGTATAGAAGCGGCTGCCGGAGGAGAAGGGTCACACCTGCTTTATGATAATCCCTCAGCTCCAAACCATAGCCGTGATTTGCAATGGTCCAAAATCAGTCACGGGGATTACACACTGACTTCTAAATGCGTGACTTAGGGCCACTTTTTGTTATCGCGCACAAACAGGCCTCCTCCGCCTCCTTGTGCTATAGAACGACGATCCCCACGGAGATGGCACTCCAGAAACATCTCTGCAGCGTCCCTCTTTTCCTGGCCAGATTTTTTTTATATCATCACCACTTCACTTCCACAACTTGCCAAGGAATCGACCTCTCTGTTTGGAGAGGTGACAAGTAGTCCAGCCGCATCACAAATATTCTCGGTCAGGTTATGAGCTCTAAAGGAGTCGCAGTAAAACTGTCTCACTATGTGGTGGTTTTAAACTCTTATTAATGGGCATTGTAGAATTTCCTGAGCCAAGCAGTTTAGTACTGCCTTAGTCACCTTTAGTCTTAAATAAAAACCAAAATTCAACATGTCCCTCTTAAAGGAATAGTTCAACATTTTGAGAACTATGATAAGTGGCCTTTTTTGCAGAGCGTTAAATGAGAAAAGGTCCATTAGTTCAGTATAAGCTCCAGCTAGCAGCCAGTTAGTTTAGCACCACGACTAGAAACAGAGAAACAGGTAGCCTGGCTGTCTAAAGGTAATTAAATCCACATACTAACACCTCTAAAGCTCATTAACTAACATTTAAAGCCATCCATCCATTTTCAACCACTTATCTGAAGCTGGGTCGCAGGGGCAGCAGGCTGAGCAAAGTATTCCAGATGCCCCTCTCCCCAGCAACGCTTTCCAGCTCCTCCTGGGGGACCCCAAGGTGTTCCCAGGCCAGATGAGATATGTAATTGCTCCAGTGTGTTCTGGGTCTGCCCTGGGGCCTCCTACCAGTGGGACATGCCCAGAATATCTCTAACAGGAGGCGCCCAGGAGGCATCCTGATCAGATGCCCGATGCTGCTGTTTCGGCTGCAGCTAATGGGGATCCTAATAAATGAAATGAGCCACCTCAACTGACCCCTTTTGACGCGAAGGAGCAGCGGCTCTACTCCAAGCTCCCTCGAGATGTCTGAGCTTCTTACCCTATCTCTAAGGCTGAGCCCAGCCACCCCATGGAGGAAACTCATTTTGGCTGCTTGTATCCACGACCTCATTCTTTCAGCCATTACTCAGAACTCATGGCCATAGGTGAGGGTTGGGATGTAGATGGACCAGTAAATTGAAAGCTCTGCTACCGGCTCAGCTCCCTCTTTACCACGACAGTCCAGCACAACACCCACATCACTGCAGACGGCGTGCCAAACCCCGATCCATCTCACACTCCATTCTACCCTCACTCGTGAACAAGACCCCTGAGATACTTGAACTCCCTTGCTTGAGGCAGTAACTCTTTTCCGAGCCAAAGGGGGCAATCCACCGTTTTCCAGCAGAGAACCATGGCCTCAGACTTGGAGGTGCTGACTCTCATCCTGACCGCTTCACACAGCTGTACCGCCCCAGTGCATGCTGGAGGTCACGGTGTGATGAAGCCAACAGAACCACATCATCAATAACATTTAAAGCTTGTTTGTTTAATCTGTACAATAACCCAAGAATGATGGGTGTTAATTGAGTTTTGGAGGTGCCCATAGTCTCAGTTTGTTATCTTCAGACAGAGCCAGGCTAGCTGTTTCACCCTTTTTTTTATTCTTTACACTAAACTAAACTAACTGGCTGACAGCCTCTTATTTACTGTTCAGACAAGAAACTGGTATTGATCATCTCTTCTAACTATCTGCAAAAAAGCAATAAAGCTTGTTTCATAAACCACGTGACTATTCCTTTAAATCTAGAGCACAAGCTGTGTCCCACAGCTTAATGTGACACTGTGTTACAGTGGGGTATGTTTAGTCAAACATACTGACTCATCTGGCAGCACCAGGTGTGAGTCAGGACCTCATGTTCCCCGAGGTATAAATTCTGCCAGTGTACCAACAGCTGTAATCCTTTTAGCACACAGGTTGATAACATGTCCAAAATCACCACATTCCCACCAAACATCCGTCAACTCATCTGCACATCTCAATTACTTTTATCAGACTGACTGACAGGGTTGTAGACCCAAGATCGAGACATGGTCCCTTTATTTATCCAAGGGAGACTCACTATAATTGCCTTCTTTAAAAACCTATTTTCTGCAACATCCTGTTAGACGTTTATTAAATCATACACCAGGAAAGGAGAGACCACAAGTCCTATTAAAGTGAAAGTACTCTGTCTTGGCTGGTATTTGATGGAAGACATTATTGGAAAGTACAAAAGTACAAAGTTCAAACTAGATGATATTTTTTTTTGGCTGGACCTGCAGGAGAACAGGTGCCAGCCCTGTAAATGTGAAAGTCTGTCACAAAGTAAAGGCTGATTTATAGTTGTGTGTAGGCTCTACACAGGACCTACATCGTAGCCTTTGCTGTAACTTGTTAGGGGTGGAGTTTCTATGCTACTGTGAAGTTTTCTGTGAAGTGAAGCAAAGTTTGATTGATTCAAAACACACATAAAACATGGATAATATAAATAGAAATACAAAATTCGGCTCCATAATAACTCACAAGGTTCACTGACAAAACAACTGTCTTACACTGGACTCATTTTCCCCACGTGCACGTTGTACAATACGCAAATGTTATTAGCATCAGCTTATGACATTTACCATTGTATTAATCAGCCTTAGCAGACTTCCCCTACTCTTATGAAGCCAGGATAAATCACACATAAGACTTAAGACATAAGGCTTTTTTCATTTGAGAGGCGGGCCTTCTTGTGGTCGTCACGACAACAAGTTTACATTTGGTGAACAATGGAGGGGAAACTACCCTCTATTTTAAGGTCTCATGTACCCAGACAGATCTCTGTTTCCCTGTGCCCAACACACTATTTACTGACAGCCTCTCACCCTCAACCAGAGCTACAGTAAGAACCCTCTGCCTGAACATTTTAGGAATTAGATATGAATTACTGTGAAATAAAATCAATCAATCAATCAAATAAATGCTGCATTGATTTTACGGGAAGGTAAGGGTAAGTAGGTGATGGGGTGGTTGCCTGGCAACACTAAAAAAGGAGCAGTAAGCATTTTTAACTAGTGGCTTTCAATTAAAAAAAGGGCAGTGCGGTGCACCTTGCGTTTTGCAGCCTGCAGAACGATTTCTGTGTGATCAGGGTCTAAAGATGCTATTTTGTGGAGGCTTTATTATTTTCACAATTTATTGATTCTTATATAAGAAATAACAGTAAATAAAAGCTTTGTTTCTGCTGAGGAAAATGCTTTTCATCTTACAAAAATAAATAGGATAACTGCGTCAATAAGATGTATAGTTACATTTCTGGGGAGGTGCACATCATGCTACAGCACAGGGTACTCATCTGTGCAGAGCCTATGTCGTACATATGGCATCAATTCAAAAACGCAAAAGTAGTTACACCATTGGACGGAAGTGTTTGCCATTGCACTTTCAAAATGAATAGGCGCCACAGTGATTCTGCTGGTAGGGTTTTTGACATCACAGCAAAAAAATAAAATGAAAATCCCTAAAGAAATTTACCTGTATATGCTTATATCATTATCTGTGGCAGTCGTGTTCTCAGATGTAATGAGGTCAGCTAATACCATGTTTTACAGATGTTTATTTAAATGTTTGTATTTGATAAAGAGGGAAAAATGTTTAATTTATGTCGAGATGGTGATGAGGCACACGTGTGGAGGTGCTGACTGCCATTTAAAATCAGAATGTTTTGTTTAAATTAGGATTAATTAAAAGACAGGAGCTCTACATTTGTGTAAATGATATTTTGTCAGCAGACTCAAATTGTTTTAAAAGATATTCACTTTATCAGTATCAGTAAATTGTAGCTGTTGCAGACTTTTAATATCCAGGGATTCACATTATCAACACTACCATTGACTATCCCTGTAACAACTTGGCATCAATTTAGCACATTTACCATAAACAATACAGACATATACTATGTTTCAACCCAGTCTGGTAGTTTATCAGTGGAGAGCAGAAGACATATGTGTGTTGTAGCAGAAAAGAAACATGCTGCTTTTAGTTTTTGTTGGATTCAAACCTTGCAGTTATACACACACTTCTGTAACCTCTGTGCCGCTGCTGTTTCCTGAGAAGAAAGGCTTTGTGCTGACAACTAATGTTCTGCCTTTGTCAGAAAATATATAGCATGCCCTTGGTGAAGGCCAGCGCGGGGCAGTGCCGAGTCACAGCATGTAACCACCCATCTTCTTCATTATACTTTAATCACAGTTTCTGTAGTGGGAAAGTGTAGGGGGGGGGGCTTTTTTTTTTACCTAAAGCAATTCAAGGAAGAGAAAAGTGCATACTTGCTTGTCTCCTTTGTCTGTACCAGAGGACGGTGCAGATACAGAGCAGGAGGAGCAGCAGAAGAGCACAGAGAGAGGCCGTTACCGCCAGAGGGACTGTGCAGTCATCCTCCTCCTGCACCACCTCTGCAACTGAGCAGAGAAGGTCACATCGGTGTTTTGGTTAAAGAAATGCTGAAGCAGTGTTGTTGCTTTGCAATTCAATTACAGATTTGCAGACATAGTGTAAAGAAAGCAGTGTTCAATGTCTTGTTTTAATTTGCAGTAGTGTGCACAAGGGTGGTTGCAGAGGGAAGCTGCTCTGAGCAGATTCTGAGAAAATGTTACGACTACAAATGGAACATAACTGAGATAATAATGCAGTATTTGTATTTTGGGCCTCAGAGAGGTTGGCTCTGTGATGCAAAGTCATGCAGTGTTGATCTGGCAGCTCTTTTCTGTTCCACTCTCCTCTTCAATAATAATGCTCAGTGATGATTCACAGGCCTCCCAGAAGAGAAAGGGACAGAAAAAGGGAGAAAGAACAAAGTGAAACGCACAAAGAGAGACAGATTTAAAAAAGAGAGAGGAAGGAAGGAATGTAGACAGAGAACTTAACTGGGACGGAACAAAGACAGACTCTCACTGTGCATTTCTGTGCATGTATGTTATTTAACATAAAAGACAACGGCTGTATTCTCTCACCCACTGTCAGATTGACGCTGCTATTCAGTGGTGTGGTGAGGGCAGACACAGAGGCCAGACAATCCACACGAGAGCTCTTTGCCGCCGAAAAGCTGAGGTTGCTGGTCACAGTGAAGAGGCTCTTCCCTGACTCTTGAATGCTGATGTTGTAGTCACCCCGTCTCACCTCCATGCCAATCCCCTGAGAGAGAGAATTAGTATTATTTATATTCTGCTTACTAATTGGGATGGTTATGCTCTGACTCGACAGGATTTTGCAGTTATTCTCTAAATACTCAGGACACAACTGTATTTAAAGTTGTTTAGCCAGTGTAATGCTGCATTCAGTGGCAGATCAGTGTGTCTGGTCTGTAGTCAGAAGTGGGACCAAGTCATTGTCTGGCAAGTGAATTTAGAATTTCTGAATTTAGAATTTATTTTGGTCTGCAAATAGAAGCAAGAACATAATGTATTAATCTACAAATTCATGTAACTAAAGTCACAGCCTCTCACAGAAAATGGCAGATACTTAAAAATCCATCCATCCATTTTCTAACTGCAGTCCTCTTGAGGGTCGCGGGGGGGCTGGAGCCTGTCCCAGCTGACAAGAGGTGAGAGGCGTGGTACACCCTGGACAGGTCACCAGACTATCGCAGGGCTGACACATAGAGACAGACAACCAATCACGCTCACATTCACACCTACGGACAATTTAGAGTCATCAATTTACCTGCATGTCTTTGGACTGTGGGAGGAAGCTGGAGTACCTGGAGAAAACCCACGCTGACACGGGGAGAACATGCAAACTCCGCACAGAAGGGCTCCCACACCCGGGATCAAACCGGGAACCCTCAGGTTCGACAGTGCTAACAACCCCACCACCGTGCTGCCCGATACTTAAACAGTACAGTGCAAAATATACAATACATTAACATAACTTAGACACCTTTGCAGTCTGAAAACGATGTAGGCTGAAGCTACGGCTTATAACAACTACCCCTTTAACAGCACATTATATTTAGCAATCAACAAAACAAACCGAAACAGGCAAACAAGGCAAAATAGCAACAAAATAAAACACTTTAAGTTCCTGTACCCTGTTCTTATATGTCAGTATTACAGTCTGATCATCCATTTTCATATTTGATCAATACATCATTTTTAAACTTTTGTTTAAACCTACATAATGTTCTACATGTTTTCAGTTCGTCACTACAACTATTCCATAAACTCACTCCTAAAACTGAGTTTCACAGTCACAAGTAAGTCTCAAGTCTTTGCACTCAAGTCCTGAGTCAAGTCCCAAGTCCTAAACTTTGAGGTTCAAGTCCTAAACAAGTTATAATGCGCTCTTCAACAAATGAAATGTCAGTATAAATCATGAATGCTTTTTAAAATTTGCATTAATTTGTTGAAACACTTGCTGTGTCTCAAATCACATACTTCCGTTAGTAGCTACACTTCTACGTAGTATACTATGTGCACTATGTACTTATTGGCGTAGTGCGCAAATTTCGACAGGGTAGTGTTGTCTCAAACCAAACACGGCCGTTGTGCACTTACCGGAAACGACGACTGCAAATTTGCTCGTTAGCAAACTAGCATTAGCATTCGCGTTATCGTTTGGAGTACCAAATCATTACAGACTGCTAAATTAACCCAATAAACATACTGCTGGCTTATACCCGACAACAGTATAGTGGTGCTTAGTGCAAAAAACACATGTATTTGTACAATGCAGCGACGTTCATGGTCGCACAGTCCTCGGTCACCATTTCCAGTTTGAAAAGTGGCCCTTCCCCTTCTGCTATGTAGCTAAGATGGCGATGATTGATGGCGAGAAGCGTCCATAGTTCCACACTCAACTTCCTGACCGTTTGGTCTGGTGCTCTGTAACATAACGTTTATTTTTAATGGTCCTTGATGCTATTGGATGCTGATGAAATGGTTTAAACAAAGTGGATCTGGGATATTAAATGACTAGAAATGACGGGTGTTAATGTGATCGTAAGTGCTATATTGTAGGCAACTGGACTTGATTGAGTTACTTGAAGATGCTTTGCCTCTCATCCAAGAAGCTCTTTCAGTTCCAAAGGACTGGGGCGGAGTCAGCTCTGTGAATGTGAACACTTACAGAGTCATTGAGGTTACATGTGAGCTCTGAGTTTCAGAGTCGTTAAGGTCACAATGTGAGTCATTGACCCACCCGCTCATCTTGTGTGTCGTTAGGTTTAGATGGGTCCAGGTGAGAATTGGTGTTAGGTCGTCTGGGGAGGGATTCCAAGACTGCATTGTAAGTGGGTGATAAATGGTGTCGAAGGCCATCTCCTCATTTTAGCGATGGTCGTCCAGTTTGATGTAGATGGATTCTTTCACCCCTCTTTCAAACCATCTGTCTTCTCTGGCTAAGACATTGATATTGCTGTTCTCTAAGGAGTGTCTCTTCTCCTTTAGATGTAAATGGACAGCTAAATCTTGACCTGATGAGTTGGCTCTCCTGTGCTGTGTCACGCGCTTGTGTTGTGGTTGTTTGTTTCATCAGTCCACAAGCAACGATGATGGGAAATGAATTGATTTGTGGCACATTTTAAATAAAAATATTTTTTAATCTTTAGGCTTTGTGGAATTGAGTATTGAGTATTTTCAAGCCAAAAGGCTCAAGTACAAGTGAAGTTATGAGTCACTGGTGTTAGAGTCCAAGTTGACTTGCAAGTCTGTTTTGATTTCGTCAAACTGAGTCTTAGGCCATGTTTACACAAAAACGATCCACTGGAAACAGAATCAGTTCTCATTTTCGTTTTGAAAAAAAGTTCCACGTTTAGACAACGTTTTTTTTGATCCGCCGTGCAAACAGATCTGCAAAAATGACCAAAAACGCTACAATATACATGCCAGGCCAGTAGTTGGCGGTGTGACGCTTACGATTCCTTCTACAGAGCAGCGATTTATAAACAAACAAAATGGCAACCGCATGAACGTTTGTCTGGACGGACGACGAGGTGGAGTTGCTACAGTAAATCTACACTATGATGGGGAAGCGTTGATAAATTCAATAAGGTGAGCAGCACAAGCAGAGCTCTGGAGTCAACCATTGTTGTTGTAATGGTCGACTTTCTCGCGCATGCCAAGTGACTGGAAGCGCAATGCAGATGTGCGAAAAGTCTCCGTTTTCAGAGGAACTGCATATTGCAAGTTTACATGACAACGGAGACGGTGACGTTTCCAAAAAATTGCACTCTGGAACCCATTTTCAAAACGCTGCATTTTCAGGCACCAAAAACGACGCTGTCGTGTAAATGATCGGCCAAAACGCAACTAAAGTTTACCATTTTCAGTTGAAATCGTTGTCGTATAAACAGGACTTTAAGTCATCAAATTTGCGACTCATGTCCAACTAAAGTCCAAGTCATGTGACTAGAGTCCACACCTTTGGCTTCAGTTCACACTAGTGCAGTGAACCTTAGCACCAAATAATTACACCTGAGAAAATTCATCAGCAACAGTCTTTGCAGATATAATGACATAATAATCCGTGACTTTGTTTTGACCCCTCTAAAAGCAGTGCACTGCTCATCGTGACAGACTGACAGTTTCCTAAAAGGTAAAATCGTTAGGTCACTTTCTCTCAACAGAAAGCCTGAAAGTAATAATGCACCTGCATTTGCACCTTCTCTGGCTCTGCACAGGCACAAAATTAAAGCCTGTAATATTTCTTTTTCAGAGGTACTTGAGAAGAAAGTGCTTTGGAATTCAAATGGTCAAAAAGAGGTCTGTGAATTTTGTGAGAAACAAAAAAAACCCTCTTTTTGCCTCTTGTAATGCTATATAGCAAATGCAGTTGAGGGCATTATACTGCATCAGAGTTACAGCTACTACAACAGTCTTTTTGTTGTGTTTTGAGCGGCCAGTGGGTTCATTTCATAAGAGAAATTTATATGTGTCTAAATGGAGAGTTGCAGCAGTGCACCTTAAGCTTGGTGAGTGTTTTCTAATAAATAAAATGTTTTGCTAACTTCTTAAAATGATAATAGTGATGAGGATGTACTTACCTTTCTGTCTTTCACATGCCATTGCAGAGTGGGTTGAGGGAACCATCCTGCTGCTTGGCATTCAAACAGGATCGACTGACCCTTAAAAGCCAGCCTGTTGTCGCCAGTGATTTTCACACTGCCCTTTTCTGCAATCAGAGGGAAGTACATTCACAGGCTTGTTTTTTTCTGATTTATGTGTTGCATGCATGTATATATGTACTTCTGTAGATGCATGAGGGTGTATACGTTTATGAATACTGAGTAGGAATCTATGAATTTCTGTTGAAATGCATGTTGTTGGATGCACATATCTGAACCCAAAGATGAGCATCACCTCTCCAGTTGGCCTGCTCACTTACAAGACGGATTTCATTCGTCCCGCGTGATTGATTACATGTCTCAAAGTCTCAATTGGCTGACGAATGCTTCTCGTCTTTTCCCCTTCATCTCCTTCCCTGCCAGCCAAATAAGCCACTTAAGGCCCTGGGAGATACAGTATCTCATATGTGAAGTCTATTGTCTGATAGAATGAAAGGCGGTGGATGCAACAGACAATTGCTACAGACAGAAAGATAATTACAGAAGCTTCGCTGCTTTGTCTAAGCGAATGACATGTCTGTGTTGATTTAGGTTCAAATCCTCAGATGTTTTGTGCACATTATTGGCTGTCCCCTTTTTTCAGCAGGCTTTTATTTGACGCCTGATTTGGTGTCATAAACATCCCACCATCCAATTCTAAAAGAGTGGACTCCGGCTGCTCTTAGAGAATCTCTGCGCCTTTGCATAAAGGTTGGCAAGAAACCAGCAGCCTCATTTGCACTGACTGATGAGGGGCTCTGGGCGATCATGGCAGATTGATACATCTGAATAGAGAAAGGAACGACATCAGCACTCTCTCCCAAAGCTCCAATTTAAGTGATCCCTGAAATAAGGTTTCATAAGGTTGGTTAATCACTGTGGGGAAACTCTGAAGACTTTAGGCTGCTGTGGCAGGCTGTGTGAGGTGGAGAGCCCTCAGCTAACTCTAATTCTAGTGATTTGTCAGCAGGGGTCCTCAGAGGGGAAATTGCTGCTTTGAGGGCAGCATTTAAAGACATGTCTGTGTGCAGGACTGATGTGTATGTGCATGAATTTTGTCTTGCATGAAAAGTATATAACACTTGCACTGTACATGTGGGTGTAAATTTATTCCAATGAGGAGGGCACAATGCCTCCATGGTCCCAACATCACAGGCATGTTCACTCTTCTCTGATTTATATTGAAGAGTTCTCCTTTTCTGCAGCTCCACTGCAGACCCTGCTTGTACTCAACAGCTCCTGCAGCCATATTGATTTTCTCAAGTGAAAGGTTTGTGTGTGTGTGCCGTGTTTGTGTGTGAGTGAGTAAGAGAAATAAGCAGAGAAAGAGCAGCAAGAGGAAGCAGGCATATGTTGTCATTTTTACATCGTCTTCATATTGGACAATTAAAGCAGGGAGCGTGGATGATATTGCACACAGAGTCAACTGGCCCGCTGTGGATTTGTGGCTCCGTTCCAACAGTATATTTGCAGCTGCAGTACACAAATCACAGGCAGAGTTGCTGACTGTTAACTGGGCGTGCCAGGATGCACAATTAATTCAAAGGCTGTGTCAGGCCATCGTGATCCTCTGCATCCACACTGGAGGGCCTGATTCACCATGCACTACTGTTAATGGCTGCATATGTCAGTGGGGATTTGCGGCACTGGCAGCGATGGAGGCTCTTTCTGTAATATATTGGAGACGATGGGTCATTGGTTTTGTTTCCCTTCGCTTTTTGCAGAGAGGATGTTTCCACGCAGATTTTGTTTTAGCTGAGTTCTCAGTTCAGGTTGTACATACTGCAGCTGCAAATAAGCTGAGTGATAAGGTCAAGGGAAGCAAAGGTCCAGGCAAGTCTTGAAGCATTGCTGTAATAAGTTGTCATCAAGTTTGAGGCATGCCATTTCCACGTGAGCTATGCTTTCAGACCTAGAGTTGTCTTGCTTTGGTCTGAATCAGGGACTTATTTTCTTATAAAGCTGCATAATTGCCTAGAGTTGGTTCGTGTTCTCACAGCAGCATTTACAAGCGGACCAGATAAAATGCATTGAGCAAAAAAGCTGCTCTTGATTGGACAAAATTTCCATGTGAGAAAAATACAGGAAGTAAACCAAACGTTGAAGAAGAGTACACTTGCAAGATAAATGTGACACTTTCTAATGTCACAATGGAGGGACAACTACCCAGGTTGATTTTAGCGCTGCTCATCGTGGACTATATTGCTGTCATTGTTCATTTTAGTCAAACCATACAGTTTGAAAACGAGGCACGGCTCCAACTAGAAAACAGTGTTTTGATGCATTGGATGTGCTGAATGTGCATATTAAGGCAGTACAGGAGGAGGTGCACATTAATAATCCTCCAGAACTGTAACATGCTCATGTTTAACCCGAACAATTTGTCATGTGACTGCAGTTTGTTCGGATCGAGGTCGGAACTCGAGACCACCTCTTCAAGAAGGTCTCGGTGCAGTTGTTTTGGTGCACACCTGAGTGTGATTGCTGTGTTCACACCTGCCCAAACGAACCACACTTAGGGGGCAAACGAACTTGAGTTCGATTGAACCGAACCAAACAGGGCAGGTGTGAAAGCACTCTAAAACTGCATGTGTCAATAGAACAGAGTGGTCAGTATCTCCCTAGAGATGCACGTGTCAGTGTTTTTATGTGTCCGCTCAAATAAGATGTTTTTCATCAGGCAATCTTTGAACTAAGGAGCCATACAGAACTTATTGAAATGGGGGTTGGTTCCCTACTTTTTGTCCATCTTTTTACTTTAATTAAACGAGCAGTGTGTAGAGTTCAGTGCATCTATATTCCAGATTACAACCAGCTGAACTCCTGGTTAGAATTCCCTCAGTGTTCATTGTTTAGGAAGTTTTCATTGGGAGCCGAATTAGTCACAGAGGTCTCCTCCTTTCCAAAACAAATAGATACAGCAATTTAAACCGGAAAAAAATACTGAATAAATCAGTTTCATGACGCAAATCAGTGTTTCTGCAACACTGTTTGGCTGATAGGCTGCTTGCCAAGCACCTGCTGATGTGTGCTCACGTTTTTCTTTTACAATTTAAGATCCCAACATTCAGGAGGTTTTTGCCAAGACTTTAATTATCCACAGAGGTTGTGTATCCAAAACAAAAGGACCTGGTAATTTAAACCAGTAAAAACACTGAATAAAAATCAATTAATATTGTTCCAAATTAGTGCTTTTCCAACACTCAGCTCATCGCTGAGGAGCTGCTAATTACAATGGCAGATGCTAAAAATGCTGCCCTATTTAGAGCCAGTGCTTGGTATCTCCATTCTGGGCTGCTGTAGAAACAGCATGGCGGACTCTGCAGTCGAGGACCTTTAAGTACCCTCCCTTCGGCAAAAAAGAAAAAATTGCTTTACCCTTCTCTGACCTCGCCAACACCCCTAATAATTTTTACAGTCCCTAATTTGCATGGAAATGAAAATGTTTGTGAACGGTAAATGGTCAATTTAAGTGTTAATTTAAGTGTTAAAATGCTGCAGTGCTCTCCAGCTTGTGACATCAACACCATCAAAACTGCAGAGAACTACAGATTCCCATCAAGTCCTAACTCCTAACCTGCCAGCAAATGTGCCACCCAGTCCTCACACAGTATGTCCTCTTATCTGCATAAATATGGAGAGGAGAGGAGAGGAGAGGAGAGGAGAGATTGGTTGCAGCTGCAATCTGTAAATCCTGCTCTGCTGCCTGGTCTGACTGACATGGAGTCCAGCGCTTTGCACCTGGTATTTATATCTGGGGGCCAATCAATTCCTATCCCCGACACCACCCACACTGTCATTAACAATGTCACAGAGACCATCAAACATGCCTGGGCAACTGTGCTCCACCACACAGGCCCAAATGATTTCCCACCCTTGACGTACACCGTGATTGATTGCTCAGACACTTGTTCAGCTGCTTTTACAGAAAAACTTTTCATTCTCGAATTCCTTTTCTCAAAAAAAAAAACAAAAAAAAAAACAAAGGCACCTAATTCAGGCGAGCGCCTTAAATACTGAGGCAAAATTTAAAAAAAAAAAAAATTGTCACTGAGTCTTTGTGTTCTTTATTTTTTGGTAAGTAGAGGTGGCGATGTGTGGGTGGTCAGAAAGCTGCTACACAAGTTTTGCTTAGTCCCTTCATTTACCTCTTTTTATTACATGCTGCTTTTTGCCTCGTCAAGGTTAAATTCAGTGTGTTTCTGCACTCTTTCACACTGCAATGGTTACAAGTGAGACTTCCCATCTGCTTGGTTACCTTCACTGCTATACGTGTGTGTAAGTGTGTGTGCAGACTTTTGTTTGCAAGAAAGTGAGTAGCCCTGAGAGGAGCTGGCTGCACAAAAAGCCTTTGAAATTCTCTGCAGCAGAAATAAACAGTTTCTTGCTTCCTTCCTGCTCCAATGAATCAAGGTAACACACGCACACACATGCACATAGTACCTCCTCTGAGTCTCTCTCTCACACAGAAACATTTGCTCACATATGGACGGACCTTGTACAAACAGGCTTGCTGTTTTCCTATCAATGCCCTGGAGGTCACAGGTCACTTGGCCCTGGTTGTGCCTCTGCGTGTTTTTCAGGACAAACACCCAGCTGTCTTTCTGTGAGGCACTGGCTGGCTTGGCCGTCACATTAGCGGTGATGAAGGGCAGGACACCAAGGTCCCTGGAGATGGTGAGAACCGCTGTACTATTCAGCAACCATATCATAACGGTCCATTGGGTGGTGGTGGCAGTGCAGGTAAAACGGGCCTCCTGTCCTCGCAGCACGGTTAGTGTTTCAGGTGAGAGCTTCACCTGAGCTCCAACTACTAAAAGAGAAACAGACATAAATCACATTAACAAACCTTTCCATGTTGAACTGAGTCTGAAACACCATTTACCAACACTGTTGCCAAACCAGTGGTTCCCAACTGGTCCAGCTACAGGGTCCAGTTTCCTCCTTAGTCATTAGTTCAAGGTCCACACACTTCAATATATTCAGCATCATACTTGCATTTGGCCATTTCATCGAGCTAGTTTGCTGTCTCTGTCAAGTAGCTGTCCGTTTGTCACTCACTCTACAGCAGGACACGGCACTTCAAAATAAAAGCTCTGTGCTGGAAATTCACTGCACTTAAAAATAAAGTGTGTTTTTTACAAACTTGACGCGTTTGCAAGACACTTTCAATCCATTCAGAATGAACCGCAACCCACTAGTTTGGAACCACTGTGCTAAACCACTTTACACTGTACACTAAATTTGTAGCTATGGAGCTAACAGCTGGCTAGCTTACCTTAGCACAAAAACAAACTGGGATTATGTGCTGGACTATTTCTTGGTTGGGTGTGGTGGCCACCTGAAGTCCTGTCATCACCAAGAGATTGCTAAGACCGTATTTCCCACAGTGTTGAACTGTTCCTTTAACAAAACCTAATTAGACCACAATCAGAATCAGAATTGGTTGTATATTGTATATTGCATCGCCAAGTTGGCCATGCAATATGCAACACCTGGCATCTTAACTACACAATTATTATTGGCCTTTTCAGAAACTCACTCCACTCCACAGCAGTCAAATGCTTCAGTTCTCTTGACGGACATTAGCACATTGTATGCAAATTTTGCTATTTCCTTTTTTTACAATGCAAAGTGACTCCTTTGCATCCAAACAGTATCAGATTGACATTATGTCAGAGGCGACTTTGCATGTAATAGTGAAGGGATGAATTTAAGTTGATGCAGTGAAGGAAAGGAATGAGTAAAGAGTAGGTTGATGCCACAGAAATAAAATGAGAGTAGAGCGGACATTCTCGTTCAAATCAACATAGCAGGATGGTCAGAGCAGCGGCCATTTTATTACACATTATCCACAAAAATTAGTGTGTACGCAGGTTTTTTAAACAACCCGCCAAAAATATGTTATAGACTCCTTTCCCACTGCCAGGAGATGATAGCTGTGCAGCCATCACGTTTAACTTCCTGTGTGTGTGGGTGTTTTATTGGTGTATCACATGTGACGTCACAAACAGGCCATGTCAGTAGGAGCATAGAGGCCAGTCAAAATGTGACAGTGGTTACTTATTTTTATATATTTCTTATGTTTTCAGTCTCTCTCTCAAACTTGATGCAGACTGATTTGAATCAGTGTTTGAGCAGACAGTATTTTGTGGCAGCGTGTGGTTGCATCTTGCCGGTAAAGGAGCTAAAATTAGAACATTCACACAGGTGTTGTGTTTCCATCAATGCAATTCAGAGCCGAAGACGATAAATACTTGTGCCTACTGCAGATTCATTTGACCTAATTGTGAATGCTGATTTAAGCCTTTCTGTTATATTAAAAAGTCAGATGTTAGTGGGTGTTTGTGGGGTTTTTGTGCAGTTTACTTTTGCTATATCAACCACGGTAGTGGTCTAACTTCCATATAAACAAACCAACTTGTGACAAGTTGCGAACTCACTGTTTTGAGGTTTTGTAGCCATGACCAAACAAAAAGTGGAATTATAAAGTTACGTTTTCAAATAAGCAACCCACTACTGTTATATCCCTGTTTCTGTTGTTGCCATTAATTGCATGTCATTTGAAATCTGATGTACTGTAACTGCTTCTGATGAAGGAGTCAGAGCTGCTGCTTATAGGACAGCTGAGAGGCAACGACCGTGGAGATAAACAGCATGTAGAGCCAGCATGATTTTTGCATCTAAATCTGTGTGATTAAGGATTTATTTCAACTAAACCAGAGCTGGTGTTTGTAAGAGCATCTGACTTACTGACAAGACGACAAACAAGACTAACTCAGACAGTTTTAGTGAGTTTTATTTTGTTTTTGTCGAGCTTGAATGAAGTGTGTTTTATGATGAGTCAGTCCTAGTTCAGCTGAAGAGAGAAACTTGGATCAGTGTATGGTTGTCTTCTTCTGTTAAATGAGAACAATAAGGGTAAAAAACGGCCAAAACTTGTGTGTGTGAGACACAATTTATGGCCCCCCTGATGTGATTTACCATGATAGCAGCCAACACATGTTGCTTTTGGACCAGTCAAAGGAGCACGGCAAACAGTTCAATGTCTTTCCCACTCATTTTATTTCTATAGTTCATGCTTTATCTCAGTTTGTCCAAAGAACAGACAAAACTAAACGGAGTGAATATGAGTTTTTGCTTTTTTTGTCATATATTTCTGCACAAATCTAAATCTTGCCATGACAGAGAAGCCAGTGTGTGTCACTTTCAAACAAATTATCCAAAATGTTCAAGACCTCAGAAAGAAAGACAGAGACAAAGAAAGAGAATGACAGCACAGCTCCCTAAATCTGTATTTCACTGTGGCTGTCCAGATGGAGACTGGTGATTTGGCCGGGTGCATGAATGAGGCCAAACAGGATTTAGGGAAGAAATACTAACATAACTAGGAGAGTGTAAATCCATCTGTAGCTGCCAGAAAGAGGCTGCGGCATCATTCTGCAGGGTAAACATTTCAACAGTAACCTGCAGAGTTCGATAAAGCCACAAGGATTACACCATTAGGGCTAAAATGGAAGAATAGACTCTACAAGGAAACGTTCATAACCCACTGTGCGCTAACTGTCAGGAGCTACTCTATAAACATCACCCAGACACATCAATGCATGCCTCCAGTTGAATTCCAGCATATCTGTAAGGCTTTCTCTCACTGACAAACGAAGAAGAAAAGGAATTAATATTAATACCACTCTGTGAAATATGATATAAAAGGTTTACACTACAGTACTCAGGGTGATGTACAACTTGTTTGTGGTGCACTAACTGCGTTACCTTCCACAGCCAGCACGCTGAATCATAAATTATGCATCCCTTTAGGAAATTAGGCCTGAGAAATATCTAGGCCAGCCTATACAGCTATTTCTTTTCATTGCAATCAAAGAATGGCAGTCTAATGAGCATAATTTGTGCATGTTCCTACTGGGACCATGAACCAGTGACTCTGAAGTCCCCTGGCCACTGGCTACATCTTAGTGTTAACTAGATAGGCAGCCATTTTGAAGAAAATTAATTATAAAGTGCAGATAGATCATTAGGCCCTCTAATTAGACTGTGGGTTTAATCTGAAGGGTGCTGCTATTAAGCACACCACGCCGAAGACTGAGGCCGTTAGCACAAGCACATTACTGGCCTGTGTGACACACAACTTCATTCAGACAAGCTGCTGTGTTTGTTTTGAGCTGAACTCTGACCTTGAATCCAGAATGAGAGTAGGAGCACTAACAGAGAGAAGTTGTCCATGTTTAATCTGTCGATGCAGTCAGTTCATGTTCAATGCTGAATGGACCTGAAACAAAAAGAAATTAATTACAGAGGAGCACTGTTGATCATATTCTCAAGTCATCAGCCATGCTAGTAACAAGACTCTGGGGATGGCAACATCTTTCTGTTTGTTTAGACTCAAATATCTCAACAATGACTGGATGAATTGCTATTAAATTTGGTACAAACATGCATGTTGCACAGAGAATGAATGCTACATTCCCATGAGCCTCAGCTGCACTCAGTGTTTCAGTGTTGGGGAGTAGTCAGCTACATGTAGCCTAATTAAACCAGTACTTTAACTACATTTTGCAGTAACTACATTCACATTTGCATAGTGATTAAAGTAGTTAAATTACTTTTTTTTTGGCCTATGTTTGTGTGTTGTTAACCACTGAAACTACTAACAATTTTGGACCATAAAAGAATTTGCATTGCTTCTCTAATGTAATTGAACTAAACAGTTAGTCATAAGTATTGATTATTGCTATTTTTAACAAATGTTCAAATAAGTTGTTGCTTGGTATTTTGGAAGTTACTCTTCTGTCAGAGTAATCCTGCTTGGTGCAAAACCCCCACCTGATTTCTAAAGGCAGGTGTCTGACTGATAGGTATTGTATATAAAATCAAAGCTGACAGTCCTTGCGCCTCTCCATGAATAGTGAGGTATTTTATTTTTGTGGGCACTTTTTACAGTGAACTCAATTGTTAGCAGTAGTATGATTTGTTGGCATTTGACTTGCTGTAAATAGCCTGGGCCAGGGGTCTTTAATGTTTTTCAGGACAAGGCAAGTTTATTTATAGCACATTTCAGCAACAAAGCAATACAAAGTGCTCTACATGAAACATCAAAAGCATCAAGACAAGGTGCAAAAGACACACATTATAAAAGCACATTAAAAAGCCATTCATTAAATAACTAGAGAATAGAAAATAAAAAGTTAAGATACACTACGACAGATATAAAACACAAGAATACAAGTTACAGTGCAGTTAAAATCAGTAGAAGTATTTGAATAACAAAAATTACAGTGCAGTGTAAGACATGAATAAATATTTGATTTAATTGTTAGAAGAATGCCTTTACTGTCATTACACATAATGCAACAAAATTAAAGTGCCACATCTGATCATCAATTTTGCATCTATTAGCGTATGTGAGTTAGTTCAGCTTAGTAGCATTCACAGTTCAAATGGCCCGGGGCCAAGGACCTCGTAGCTCAAATAGAGACGGAGCAGGGGCCCCTACATATATTGTACAAACTTGAGTTGCACTTGAGATAATATTCTCAACATTTTCGGGTCCTTTCTTGTTTGCGCTTGCCTGCAGCTGCTAAGTTAGCATCAGTTGTAGCATGGCTAGGTGCATCGCCCTTCGCCTCTTTGGTTTCTGAGGTGGATGGTATGTCAGAGTTTCTTGCTCAGAGAGTTACAAAACAATCCATTGTGGCTCACAAGAATGTCCGTACACTTGGAATAATAAAACAGCTAAATGGCCAATACGTTTCAATAGTAAGTACAGTGATTTAGCATTAGCTAGCTCACATAAGTGCACAAGGATTAATGGGTAATAGCCTAATGTTGTGTACTGTAAATTAAATGTTTTGGGGTTGTTTGTTTTTATAAATAGGCTGATTATTCTTTGCTAATAGCATGTTGGATTCATGTTCATGCATATTTTCGAATATATTTTAATTATTGGGAATTATTGAGGACCCCCTTAGTTGGTTGAATCAGCATTAAAACACTCAGGACTAAGCCACAGTAATCTTGTCTTCAAATATTTGTTAAAAGCCGAGCAGCTGCATTTTTTACCAGCTGCAGGTGTGAAATAGATTTTTGGCTGAACCCTGATAATAAATTGTAACCAAGATGACACGATTGACCTGAAGATCAGGTTGAGAAAGAAAAGACCTGATTTTCTGAGACGCTCCCCAATTGATAAAAACATGATGAAAGACTTTTGTAACTTGTTTTTCAAATGAAAGGTCACTGTCACTGTCTCCGCTGCAGGTCTGACATTTGTAGACGGAGAGCCAAGATGTTTCTGTAAAAATGGGATAGACTTTGGAGGACCAAAAAGAATGGTTTCAGATTAGTTTTCATCTAACTGGAGAAAGTTTTGGGGACATCCAGCACTTTGTTTCTGACTGACAAGACAATAACTGAGGAAAGTGTAAAGTTTCTCCATGGAAGGAACTCTCATCATTTCTATCACATATTGTATTTTAGTCAAAGTGCAATAGTTTCAGTTCATTTTAATTCAGGTTTAAGTATAATTAAGTTACCCAGTAAAATCACTTGTGTGTAAATAACTTGCAGCACTGCACCTGTCTCTCAAACATTTCTTTCACACACAGCATAAAGCAGCATCTCCTGAATAAAGTCCAAGTTAAGTGAACAGTAAACAGCCATAAATCTTGCTGTGTTTGTTTGACTCACCTCAGTATGGTGTCTCCATAGATCAGCTGCAAGTGTCCCACACTGTGGATACATGTCAGTGGTAATGCTCCTTTCTCACGCTTGGTGCACAGCCATGTCACCCAAAACTGTCCCGTTAAATATTACCAAACTCAGAGGGAACTTTGCCCCATGCTACACACACATGTAAATATACAGAGTGAGTCAGACTGCAAACAATGCCCCTTGTAAGTCCCCAGTTCCCAGGGGACCTTACGAGTAGACCTCCACCCTCTGCAGATGGATGTATTTGGACACAGTGGATGATGTATCTGTATAATAAACATGGCAAATGTACAGTGTGATGTATGGCAGAGGGATGACATGATTTGATAACTTTAGCCATTCTAGTGGCACGACTCTGGACGTCAGTCTGTCTGTCTTTCGGTTTGTCCTCCACTTCAGTCCAGACTGAAATATCTCAACAACTTTTGGATGGATTGTTTTGAGATTGAATTTATTGTCTCTAATGCAACCATGAGTTGACATTTTTGGTTTAAGTGAAAAATCTCAACAATTATTGGATTGCAAGAAGTTTGGTACAGACCGTCATGGCTCACAGATAATTACTTTGTCCCAGTTCAGGGGCTGCAGCCTTCAAGAGCTGCATCTGAAGACCAACTGCGTCACAGCGGGGCATGGGTGGATTATTGGATGGGCCTACTGGGCACAGGCCCAGGGGCCCCTGCAGGTCTTCACTGGCAAAATGTCACTCAAATAAACAGGTACCAACTAGGAAGAGGCTCAAAATGACCACAAAAAAGACCACAAAGATGCAAAGGAACTCCAAAGAGACACAAAATAACTGCAAAAAACTGGCAAAGCAAACACAGAGATACAAAATTCCCATTCTCGGAACCCATCGGCTGTATTCGGTGTCTGACTTCCGGCAGACAGCGATACAGCCTCTGGGGGCAGACCCCCGATTTTTTGGCATTCTGGTTTGATTTGGGCGGAGGAGGCGAATTTCCGTTTCCGACTTCCATTTATATATAAGTAAATATGCTGAACCATTGCAATGGATTCAGAGTTTGCAGTGACGCCAATTATGTTCCGCCTCGTTAGTTCACCGCACGGACCGTTTAACCTGGCAACAACTGCAGCCAGCTCAAACGTGATTGGTCAATATCATGCGGACTACAAACAGCCTACAACCAGAAACCAGGGCTCTTCCGCTCTTCTTCTGGAGGCAAGATCTCCGGGGTTTGCCTACAGACTCTACATTCACTGAATGGAGAGTCACAAGAGACACAAAGAGCTTTTCTTTGTAGTAATCTTAGAGCTGTATATTTTTATTTTCTATTTTTGTTCTATATTGTCTGTAACTCATGTTGCTGTCAGGACACTCTTGAAAAGAGTTTTTTTCTGGATAAATAAAGATTAAAAAGAATAAATAAATAAAATGATCAAAAAAAGACACAAAATTACCTCAAAGAGACACAAAACCACAAAAAGATGCAAACATCAACAATAAAAGAGGGAAAACCACCACAAAGTCTATGTGTCTTACTCCTATAAAGGAGAGGGGTTGGGGCTTGTTGTGTATCTGTGCCCAGGGGCCCACTATCTCATAATCTGCCCATGCAGTGGGGCAACAAGGTTATCCCATTTTAAAGGCTTCTTCAAATGTGGCCAATAAATTTGCCCTTTTTTTTTTTAAGCTGGGTTCGGAGGACACAACAGTGTTCATGTGACTTTGGTGATTCCCTGACTTCTCCCTTAGTGGCACCATGAGGTTGACAATTGTAGCTTCGACTGAGATGTTGCAGCAGCTATGGATAACCATGAAATCCTGCTGCCTTTTCATCCTGCACCAATATCAGGTCAAAACTTCAGTTTGTCCCATACTTTGGTGCATGACCAACTTTCTTCAGTGAGTCCCATCAGTCCACTGGACATACAATGGTGTGCTGTACTGTGGGGTTTGTGGTGATGATGATATCACCCTGGAAATACTTGTTATATTTATTAGATATTTATGATACTCTTTCAACCATTAAGGTAATTTAATGTTTTACCACTTAGTTAAGTCTCAGTGAATGACGTTAGTGTTTGAGCTCATCAAAGCAAATTCAAATCAACTATATTGAATTTGTAAGTATTGAATATTTAATGTGATGAGCAGCAAACATTGTACCTGCTACACATAGCACTGTCATTGTAGGAATGCTGGCATGCTGGTGTTTAAGCACAGCATCACAGAAGCTGGGACGGCAGGAGCTCAGCCCATAGGGACTTGGCTTGGGAACTGGAAGATCACCAGCTCAAGTCCCCATAAGGACCAAGTATGGAGTGTGGACTGGTAGCTAGAGCGGTGACAGTTTGCCTCCAGGGAGCTCTTGAGCAAGGCCCTGAACCCTCAGCTGCCCGGGACGCCCGTCCAAGGCAACCCCCTCGCTGTGACATCTTCATTTCATGCATGTATAGGTCCTGTTTGTGTGTGTGTGTGTGTGTGTGTATGTGTGTGTGTATTTCGGACCTGTGTGTGTATGACAACAGAGTGAAAAAAATTAAATTCCCCTTTGGGATTAATGAAGTATACTGTATCTTCTTCAGAGTTACTAGCATGGCGTTATTTTAGGTACTTTTGGGTGATCAGGACTTATGTTTTTGCATATTGCAAATGAGGGTTTTGTCAGCGTCACGTCTTATTTCTGTTCAGTGGCTCTAAATTTAAATAAAGAATGAAGTCATGCTTATTTTTCGAACTGTACGGCAGTGGTCCTGCGTAAATGATAGCCTATTTTATTTTTAACATCTTCATAACACTTACTTGTTATTGTTAAGTCCTTGCATTGTCTTGCCAAAATATATTTCTATGTCCTCCTCCTCCTTTTTCCCAGGATCTCTTAGAACAAAGCATAGACTTTATTTTCCTGTTTGCCCCTGCGCTGCTCACTCTGCACAATGGTCCACTGATCTAAAAATATGCCAACAGAAGAGTTCAGATAAAACAAAAAAGAACCACTGAGTGTTTTCACCAGTTTACTTTAATGCATTTCCCATTGCATCCAAGTCTTAGTCACATGTTTCACTCTTCATTCAACAAAGTGCATTGATTAGACAGCAGTATTGGCAGAAGTAAATGTATTGGTGGTGGAGTCGTTTGCAGTTCTGCAGTAAGTGCATATTTTTTTTATCTCACGTGTCCATTAGGAGTCTTAGTTTGCTTTAATAAATTCAGCTGATAGGAGTCATTGAGGAACAATATTGGAAGAACTACTGACAAAAGAGCAGAACACACAGAGAGTGAGTTAAAACCTTTGAATTTGAAGTAGGCCACAAGCAAAGGTATGCCAAGGTAATACTTTTTGAAAAGGTCACTGCCTCTTTGTGTTAGAAAACTAGAATTTCTAAAAGTAAAACATGAGAAATATGTTTGAGTTTAACAAAATAACTGTTTTGCATTTTACAAAAGCTACTCATTAAAAACAAACTGACACCACTAAGGCTACTCTGCGCATTTTCATTACAGTACTCCTCTAAACGTAAAATATAAAAATTAAGTCAACATTGCAGTCAAAAGGGAAAGGGGACCGGGGCAAATGTGGGTTAGGACTTTTCAGTTTGGATGGCGCCTTTGAGCACAACACCGACAGTTTCCAGTGGCGTCCAGTGTGGCCTTGGGGAGGGGTGGAGGGGGTCAAGCATCAGGGGTCGGGGGGACGTAACAGGAGGCTCCTTCAGGCTGAAACACAAGGCACGCAGAAAATAAAGAGAAAAAAAAATAAGGTCACACATTTTCCCAGTTATCTGTGGTGGTTGAGGCAGCCACCATCACCGCTACGCCTGTGCCACCCAGCGTGCCCGCTCCTCCGGAGGCACATCTGAAGCTCACTTAGCAGCTTCCTCTAACAAGGCGTGACAGGGGCTTGCAGGGGTTGGGAGACAGCTAAGGGAGGCGGGAGACGAGCACTGCCATTCCTTCAAAGCGTGCTCTGTGGCTATTAATGCAGCGGGTCATAGATGCCTGACATGCAGAGAGGGACTAAAAGACATGCTTTGAAGATTAGGATTATTACTATCATCATCATCATCACTGCCACTGCCTCAGAGGAACAAAACAAAAGGGAATTGTGGGATGTTTTCGTTATGGCTCCAGATGATCCCCAGGCACTGTGTGTGCTCACTGAAGCTGTTTGCACATACAGACAGTGGTGGCATCCCCTTGTAAATAGGCTGCTGCATTATTTTGTTTCCTCTAACTTAACACCTCAAAGTGCACGCCAATGGAAAATACAAGCGCCAAGGTGAAGCAAGGGGAGCATCAGTGTTAGTATATGAGATTTATGCATCTTATATGTAAAGGCAAGAACATTATATTGCAGTGAATGCAATAACGCTGCTTCATGGGCACAGTATAGGAAGTATATAAAGCAGACAGGTTGACTGACTGTTATTATTCGGAGGCCTCTGATTTGATAGCAGGGTCAAAGAGGCACACAAATGCAAAACACAGTTTAATTAATCTGGTTACATAAATGCCAAATATAAAAGCTACGCCGAGGGGACCTATTCATGTTGTGGTTAATGTTTGCTACCAATTCACATAATGTTTTACTGCCCTCCAGTGGTGCAGCAAGAGCACTGACTCAGAGCAGTGGGGAAAGTGTTTTTACCTGGATAGTAGCAAGTCAGCATCAGTGACGTCGCTCGTCTTCAACTACTCAGCCTCTTCCTCCTGTTAGACGAAATAATCATGTGTAAATAACAAATATGGAAAACAATGAAAGATGTAGAGAGAAAGTATTACAATCTGTGTTTTGAGTTGATTTCTGTAGAACTGTTATGTGATTACAGCATCTTAAGTTTTCCTTTGTCAACTAATCTAACAATTCAGTACAAACTGGGGTGGTCTGTGTGTTATGTTGTTTTAGCCCCTTCCTCTCAGCGACCCAGGTCAGATCCATCGGGCGGGCGGAGCTTAGAGCTTGGTGGATTTAAGAAAAAAGATTACAGTTGGATCTGCTTAGTTTGTTGCGCAAATAAAAAGAAACGATGACAGATGGTACAAAAAAGCCAAAAGCTCTCCCCTCTTATTGCTCTCCACCAAGACTCCTAATTCAGAGAGAATCAGTGATTACTGGGTCTGAATTTTCACGTTGCTTTAAAAGAGTGATCCGCCCTCTTAACAGGCATGGATTTCAGTTGTTGTTGTATTTACTACCTGTGTTTCTTCCACGTCTTCTTCTTCTTCTTCTTCTTCCTTTGAGATGTTAAAAAAGAAAGAGAAAATGAGGGGGTTGTGTGAAGTCATGGTCCGAATGACAGTAAGGTGAGAGGACTTCACATATTAGTGTTTGTTGTGGGTGTGGGTTAAAAATGGAGGAGATGAAACCCGAGAGAGGTGCGGCCAGTGGACACGACAGCAGGGAGGAGAGAAACTAAGGGAACTAATGACCCAACAGATTTCCGTTTATCCTGGGGTGACCTAAGTGAGATAGGAGTGGTGCTTGAGGCAATGCACCATATAAGATGGTGTTTTAAGTCATTACATGATGTGTTTAAACACGTTGCAGTGGAAGTTTGATGACTGAAGTAAACAACACACTCACTAAGGGACAAAGGGAGTTTACATCATTATCTATAATTAGAAGCCACAATCACTTAATTCCATCCCGTCATCATTAATGCTATCGCAAAGAGATCGACACAACCTGGAAACAAATTAGGCAACAGCTCATAATCCAGTGGGTCATCTGATGCAACTTTTTCTGTTGTTTCCTCCCGTTGTTACAAAATAACAAGAAGTGCTCCATCTCATCCATCCTCTTTGGAGCTTGTCACATCCACTTTGTTTCAGGGTGCTCTTGGCAAAAAGAAACAAAAGGCATAACTTCGTCTTAAAAAAAAGAGAGAGACATGTCCCCCTGTCAAGTCAGAGTGTCCCCTCTCCGTGCAACACAACCAAACACGTCCAAGTTATGCTTGTGTGCACACAGGCGGAGTTGAACAACACAACAAAACTTTCCACCTGTTCTCACAGCATCAAAACAAAGTAAAGACGTCTTGGCAGACTCTGAGAAAATGCCTGAACAAGTGTTCTTCAGTGCACACTGGACTAACAATAAATATTGTATGGTGCCATCTTTGAAGTAATGCACATCAATGAAAATCAGAGTCACACACCCAAAATGTGCACAGGACTGCACAGCACACAACTGCCCTGGACGGAGGCAGCAGAAATGTTTGCATACACCTGTACACACAGTCTTGGTATGCAATCATATCATGCATAAAAATCCCAGTATGATTCACACCATGCAAAACCAGGACAAATATACCTCTTCTACTTCAGCCTCTTCTTCTTCCTATGGAAGATGACAGCATGTGGTGTTTAGTACAGGAATTTCACAAAGAAGGAAAGAAAATCAACGTAATTCAGTACCCGTATATGGACTCGCATATTTGTTACCACACTAAATCCACCTTAGGTTTAGGTCGAATATGTCATATTTATCATGCTGCACACCATCAGGCATCTCCGTGGAAAATAATCGACCATGCAGCACACAGAGAGAGGTGGGGAAAAAAAGAAGAAGAGCAGCAGAAACCTCTCAAGTCTATAAAGCCTAAAAAAATACAAGACGCCACAAACTACCTCACTGCCTTGTTCGTCTTGCTCCTGTAAGAGAGGTGGGACAGCAACAAAAGAAGAAGGAAAGGTGTAGAGGAAAGAGGGCAAAGCAAAGCAAAGCAGTGAAGCATACGTGATAGAAGATCAGGCAGAAGCTGGAATGTCTCAGAGAGGCAGAGCTCTTTTCACACAGCACTTAGAACAGGGACATTGTTTAAAGTGGACTTTTTTGTTATATCCTAGGATCTAGAGCAGTCTGAACTCTCTGGGGAAGTTAACCCAGAGTTAAAAGCAATGCTGTGAGAAAAGCTGCTGAGTTGATCGCGAACAAGTCTTAACCAAGAAACCCTGTCTTCATCGCTAAAAGGAACAGTTTGTCCCCAAATCAAAACTACATATCTTTCCTCTTGGCTGTAGAGCTGTTTATCAGTTTGCCATCTCTCCAATATACTGGAACTAGATGGAACTCGGCTTCTGGTGCTCAAAGCACCAAAAAGTTCATGTAAAATTTATCAGCAATGTCTCTTTCCAGAAATCATGACCCAGTTACTCAAGGTAATCCACAGACCTTGTTGTGAGCAGTTTCACGTCGGAACAATTTTCTTTCTACCTGCCAACTACATCACAACACAAAACGAAGCATGTATCTATTGATAGCTCGTCCAGCACCACTGAGATAGCTAACATTACAGTTCAGCTGAGGAGGACGCCATTAATGTTTACACCTCGAGCTGTCACAAACAACAGCCTCTCATCAACAGGTGCAGATGTACAGAAAATAGCTCAGAGATGAAACTGTTCACGACAAGGTCTGTGGATTATTTTGAGTAACCAGGTCATGGTCTCTGAAAAGAGACATCGCTTTTGAGTTTTTCAAATGTAATTTCTGGTACTATGTGCATCACAAGTGGAGTGCCATCTAGTTCCATTATATTCACGAGAATGCAGACATCTCTACGGCCAATACCTCCAACACTCTGCAGCTCACACCAAAACAAGCTAGACTGATAAATAGCACCACAGGTAAGGGGGAATCAATGTGTATTTTTGATGTGGGGGTGATCTGTCCCTTTAATGTGCACACACCCTCAGGGCTGCTTATAAAGCTTATTGCTGTGAGGACACTGTAGTAACTGAAGGCTACCCTTCAGTGAATCAATATTCACTCATCTAATGAGTATGAGGACGCTGTTTAGAGAGAGTAAACTGTAAAGTGAAGCTATAAAAGTGCACAGTTCAAAAACAAGATCTTAAAAATTGAGACGGATGTGTTTCCCCCGCCCCCAGCGGAAATTACATCCCTGTGTGTGAGTGCATGTGCAGATGTGTGTATGTGTCTGAGGTTGTGTGAGTGCAAACAGGGATGCAGAAGAGGGTCAACCCTTAAGAGCAGACTGTAAATTCAATGCACACATACTAGAATGCAGATTCAAAGTAATGTGTCTTATGTAAGTAAAAAGATTTCACATTGTTCAATATATTACATTATTACCTGTCAGAAAATAATTCTTATATCGGCAATGTACTTGTGACAAGCACTGGAGGTGATATTTTAAGTCACCGCTACATATGTGAGTGGATAGAGACGATGCACACTTGAGGTTGCGAGCAAAACCTCTTAGCGTGGCCAAAAGTGTTGTCCTTAATCTTAACTTTATTCTGACTCTGTACTTGTTGGTGGGACAAAGTCCAAGAGAAAATGTAAAGGAATGTTTGATAAACTGTGAGGTGGCAAAGGAAGCAAGAAAGGAAACTGAGGAAGGCGAGGCGCAGATTACAACACATATCACATGAATCTACCTCAAGCTGTCGTAGCTCTTCTTCCTCCTAGAAGTAAAATGACAGACAGCAGGTCAGCAGGCTGTGTGGGGAGCAAAAGAGCACCATAGACATGCACTATAGAGAAGTCTCCCTATTTAAAATGAAAACTACATAGGGATAGTTGAGGTTGTCAGGAAGCAGCTACAGAAACTGGGAAGGAATGAGGAACAGGATGTTAGCGGAAAGAGAGGAAAACAAAATGGTTAAAAATGGAGTGACGTGATGAAGAGATGAAAGAGTATACAGATTAAGTGGAAACAGCAGACCGAGACCCCCGTCCCACCCCAACCTAAAAAGAGCAGCCTTCCCCAATCTCTGCACCATCAAACCCACACTGCTGATGACTATACAGAGGAACCGCAGAAAGAGACGATCACCGACGTACAGTTACCTCTGACTGCAAATCCTCTTCCTCCTGGAGGGAGCAAACCAAGAGATGGACAAAAGGGCAAAGAAGGGGTCAAATGCCGTACAGTGCGTGCATGAGGAACAAAACTGGCGTGAAGACCAGCAGAAGGACCTCTGAAACTGATGCATCTAAGTCATGTGAAGTCATGAGTCAGGCGACTGGAACACAAACTGAAGAGACATGCTAATTCTTACATGCAGCTTCCTGAAGTAAAAGACGTTTATAACCACAATAAAAAATGTTGTAAGGCAGCTGAGACTTAATATATCCCACATTACCAGGGCAGTAATACCCATAAAAACTAGGTGCCAAAAAGTGGAATGAGGCATTTCCTTAAAAAAAAGTTCCCTGTTAAATGTATTTTCTTGGTGGTGTGAAGCTGTTAAATTTGTTTGATGATCATGACATGCATTCCCACCACAATACTCTGGAAAACTGTGGCTGAATGGAAGATATTAGTTTTTAGAGGTTACAAAATAGGGAGAAAAAAAAAGAGATTTCAAGCATTCAAATGCTTGTACGCAGTCAAAGGGATGAGAAAATAAAAAAATCATCCACTGCCCTTGAACAGAGAATAGGAGAGGTTACACTAAAACCAGAGTTGTACTACAGAGGCGAAAAGCATTCACTTATGAAAAGAAAATATATTCAACCTGTTTTTCTGAATTAACAAGATTATTATCTTGTTAGTTAAAAAACAGAGCAGTATTTTTTCTCCAGTGAACATTACAATTCCATAATATAGCCTACATTGCAAATACAGCACACAGTAATTTACAGTGACAATGAGTTTGTACCTCTTAGTATGGCTGATCATCCTCTGTGCAACATACTGGGCATTAGAGGTTAGCATTGGATCAACTGTGACTATTAAGGAGTGTTATATATATTTCAACAAATTCCACATGACTATTGATTAGAAACAACGTTTGAGTAAATATGTCATGTATGACATAATACTACTCTATATTTACGACAAGTAAATATTAAAAACAAGTTTCAGTCAGGGTTTAGGAAACAGAACTCTCCTGAAACTGTAACTCTGAGAGTTTCAAATGATATTCTAATGTCCTTTGATGGAGGTGACTGTTTTGTGTTAGTACTTCTGGACCTCAGTTCTGTATTCAACACAGTAGACCATGAAATCCTCATTAACAAGTTGCATGACTGGCCTTGGCATATTAGGCAAAGCATTACACTAGTTTTCTTCATATCTCTCTCCATTTCTCCATCTCTATTGGTGACTTTGTGTCTGATTCCTCTCCACTATCCTCTGGTGTCCCACAGGGCTCGGTTCTTGAGCCTGTTATTTTCTCTATATTTGCTGTCATTGGGACAAAAAAATAAACAGGTATAACACTGCATATCATTTATATGCAGATGATATCCAGCTCCACTTCTCGTTTAAACCTTGTGAGCCTTTCAGGTTATCTAGGCTCCTTGACTGCCAATTAGGGTCTGGACCGCTGAAATGCTATGCTAAGCAATACTAATAAAAGTCAATCAATCAATCAATCAATCAATTTTATTTATAAAGCCCAATATCACAAATCACAATTTGCATCACAGGGCTTTACAGCATACGACATCCCTCTGTCCTTATGACCCTCGCAGCGGATAGTCACTTTGTCTTTATGTTTTTTTTCTTGTTGTATATTGCTCTTGTGAAGCACTTTGTGACCTATGTCTGCTAAAAGCACTGTATAAATAAATTTTGTTTACTTAATTACTTACTCATTTTACAAAGACAGGATACACTCTCACTAATAGACATTCTTTTTAAAGCTCTTAAAACCAATGGTAAATGACAATCAGCCTTAATTCTACTTTGAAATATCAAACAGCACCCCAAGAAGATAGTTTTCGCATTATTATTATTAACCCAGCTTTCAGGTGAGAATTAAAACAAATGAATTTGACAGGTAATTGACATCTTACAAGTTCAGCTCATGTTAGTAATCATCATTTTCAGATCAAGCAGACATCAGTGTGTTTGTGCACGTTTGATAAACCTACCTGTTCTTCTTCCTCCTCTGCGTGGGCCTGCTAACAGAAGAGATAAGATAGTATTAGAGATGTGCACATAGTTCGGACTAATCCCCACACACAACACATACCGGATATTCATACTGAAACACAACAGCACCCACAGATCAGGCTTATTGAACCAGACAAAGGGGCCCTACTGACCAGGACAATTAACAGTGATTGGATATGCAGTGGAATGCGGGATAAACGACAAGTGGTGACAATATCATCAGCAAAATACAAGGATACAAGTGGGAAACAGCCAAAAAAGCATAAAAAGTTGCAGGAATACAACAATAAAGACGTTCAATGTCCAATGGTGCTGAATAAACAGTGAACAACAGCAAACAGTTACACGTTACATGTTTTTGGTTACTAAATAGCCGAACCCAGAGAGAGACTTTAACAAAGAGATGCAGTACGAGGACAACAGGCACTTAGAAAGGAGGCAAACCCTTAATATGGAGGAAAAAGACAACATTAAAGGGACAGTGGAGACGCTGAGGGGAGGAAAAACACAGCATTCCAGAAATGATGGGAAAGTAGAGGAGAGGACATTCAGTTCAAAACATTCAAGGGACGGAGTGAGAGGAAAAACTACGGGAGGTGGGATTGTAGTTGGGGGCAATTACTGTATCCTGTGTGACCTCGTCTGTTTCTTCCTCCACCTCCTCCACCTCTTCTGCGGGGGCCTCGTCTCCTGCTGTTTCTCCTTCCACGGCTTCATCATCTCCTTCTGCTACCTCCTCCTCCTCCTCCTCCTCCTCGCCACCCTCACCTTCCTCCTCCTCCTCATGTGCAACCCCATTGCGCTCCTCCACTGGAACCTCCTTATTGTGAAGTGAAAACAACAACCGGTGGTCAAGGAAAACAAATGATGTGATTAAAGAAAGAACTTAAAGTTTTAAAAGCACAGTTGTTCAGACACTGCTTCGACAGCACAAAGACGGTCGGCTCATCAGTTGGAGGGGTTGAGAAACTGTAATGGTGGGTGTTAGTCAATCCTAGGAATAAAATGGAGAAGGGGAGGAAGTAGTAGCATTTAAAAAGGTGGAGAGTGGTGAGTCAGTGCTTCCTTTATAAGAAAAGTTTGGAATGATGCATCGTGAGTTGAAGACAGCCTTTAGGTGAGAATCAGACATCATGGCCTTAAAGGAATGTTTCGACAACAGTATGAGATGTAACATGTTTAATAGAGAATTTTAGTGGCGCCTGTAGGTGGATTTTGATAGCTTTGGACAGAGCCAGGCTAGCTGTTTCCATCTGTTTCCAGTCTTTGTGCTAAGCTAAGCTAAACGGCTGCAGTTTAGCTACACATTTACCCTACAGGCATAATAGTTTTTCCATCTCTCAGTGAATACGTTTATTTCCCAAAATGTTGAGCAGTAAAAGCACAGGGGTACCTGAACTCCTGCTGGGAAGAAAATGCACCTAAAATGAACTCGGTGTGCTCTTTGTTTGTGCAGCACTGCGTTATACCCTGCGGGATAACAAAAGGTAGATCACAGGTTCAGCTAAGCAGAAGTCTTCAGTTGTGTTTTTAGCTATCGACATCCAAAAAAGATCCATGAAATCTTCCTCAGTTACTTTAAATCCCAAAGCAGAAAATCAGTGGAGTAGAGGGATTTGTGCTCATGCATTACTTGAATATTATTCAATTTAAAAGATGATCAGATTTAAATATCTAAAGTGAATGATGTCTGTTCTTTGGTGTCTTCAGATCTGTGTTAAAGTGTGTCTAATCTGCTCTGTGGTGAAACTGATGACCAGCAGGGATTTTCTTAAGGGAGGAAAATCGTTAGAAAGTCACTGGAATGAAGGTGTGTTAAAAACATTAAATGCTTTTTAAAAGTATTGAACTAAAACACAATAATGAAACCAAACATCACATTTCACACTGCAAATCAAACATACCCCACATTGTAAAGTAATAACTGTGGACAGGATTGCAGGAACATGATGCTTCACACTTCAGCACAGTGATGCAATGTCACAGCGTTATAACGACAGCTCTGCATATTGTGTTATTGTGAACATAAAATGTGTCACTCATGCAGAACGCAGTCAGATTAGTCAACGTGATGACTGGGACAGAGTGGAGTAGAGGAAATTAGGAGTCTATTTGAATAAACAGGTATGGACAGATGTTACACTGGATGGAAAGGAAACGGTGAGAGTTTAAAAAAAAAAAAAACATGAGGGAGAAATGACACGACGGCATTACTATTGAGTCATCGAGGTTCCCCTCTGCATTAGTTTCCTCAGCGTGGGTCCCGTTCTCCACTATGTCTGCCTTGTTGGCCTGTTCTGCTTCCTGTGTTGATGAAATGATCAGGTTTAACATAGGTGTATCAGACGGGATCGGGGATTGAGATTTACTGTTTCACCAGCTAATGTGTCCTCTAAGTTTTTAGGTTGCAACCACTGAATATTTTCAAACCAAAATGATTTCTTAAAGTACAATCTTAAGTATCCATTTAAATATATTTAATAGTGAGATAAAACTAAGTATGATTTTGAAAAGTGAATCTTAAAAGTCTTAAGTAGTTCTGTCCAAAATTGGATTTATCACTCACAGATGTGTCAGGTGTTTTAACTTGCTATTACTCACCACTGAGGTAAAAGTCAGTCCTTTTTTCCCCTGTATGAAGTGCATTTCTTTCATGAAATGACCTGATAGAACCTTGAAATATTCTGGTGTACAGATGATTAATTGTGATGTGTTTAAAGAAGCTAACTTTGTCTCATAAGAGTTGAAAAAAGGCAAAACCGACTATTTACTGTAGTGTCTATCACTCTAGTGTTCCCGACTGGTGAGTCCTGGTCCAAAAGTGGGTCCCGGGTCCATTCTGAATGGGTCACAAGTGACTCATGAATATGTCAAGTTTGTAAAAAAAACACACTTTATTTTGAAGTACAATGAATTTCTGGCCAGGGCTTTTACTTTGGAGCTCCGTTTCCTGCTGTAGAGAAAGTGACTAATGGACAGCTACATCTAAGAGATGGCAAAGTAGCTCAATGACATGGCCAAATGCAAGTAAGATGCTGAATATATTGAACTGTGTGGTACTTAAACAAATGACCAAGGAGAATCTGGACCCTGTGGCCGGACCAGTTGGAAATCACTGCTCTAGTAGGTCACAATTATACACACTTCATCAGTTATCTATGAATTTTGTCATTGGCAATAAGGTCTGACAACATAATTATCTGGTATTGTTTACAGTGTTTTGTTCTCTGTAGCGTTGCTTGAAAATGCTTGTGCAGCATCTGGTTTAAATAAGTTTTGCTGTCTTGTAAACCCAGGTGGGCTGTATGCATGACACAAAAAAAAGTGCTCATCATATACAAGTATTTGGCAGGTGTTGATTTCAGGCCCTGAGCAGGGCTTTAAAGTTGTTTAATAACCTGATCGCTGCTTGATTAAAGGAGCTATATGAAAGAAATATAAAGCAAATAGTCATAAAATCCTCCTAATATGTCACAGAGACTAAGGAATAATGTTCATATAACATACTGATCTAACCGACAACAATAGTACAGCCAGAATATTCGCATTTAAAGAAAATTTTACGGTCCGCAAATCATGTTTATGTTTTGAATTTGTGTTTTGGCCTGTTGCACCACCCACCGCCGTCTACCAGTCACGCAGTGAGTAGAGTCTCAGCATCAGTTACAGTTACGACTGAGCTACAGCAGCACGGCAAGCAGCATTAGCAGTGTCCCGATACATAGCATTAGCAGTCTCCTCAGCTGTATCCCGGCAGCAGCGTTAGCAGCAGAGAAGCCGGACTTGCTCGAACGGTCCGCTGGAAAACCGAAGATCAAGGACACGGCGACGCAGCCCTGCCACGGCAGCCGCCTGTGGGCAAACAAATCAGTCTCCAGCGTGCCGCTGTCCAGCAACCTCGAATCTGTAGGGGAGGGGGGGCAGACACGATTCGCGGCTGTATTTTGAATTTGAGTGCAGTAACCGTTTTGGCCACATTCTTACATACAGCGCCTTTAATTTAGTCGTTAGCACAGCTTAAATGATTCTGCTGAGATTTGCTGCTTAAATTGTATTATTCTAGTCATTAACTAATTGGTTTCACATAGTATTCACTACAAAAAGCTAAGAGTATTGCAGAGACCCAAACCAGAATCTGTTTGACTGAATTTAAACATGCTCAAGGAAAATCTATAAAGACTCTTTGGTTGAACTCTCCATGCTGTACCAAGACTGCAGATTTACCGCCTGGCATAGTGGTGAAAGACATTAGATTATTGTGATTTTAAACAGTAGAAAACAGAAAATAGTTCCAACCTTTGACCCAGGAGGAGGGGGCAGCCCCAGGAAGGCATACACCGAGTTGTCCTCCTTGGCATCGAAGAACGTTTCATAGTCCTGCATGAAAACAACAGAAAACTTTCTTTAACAATTCACTACATCTGCTATTCCTACTGTCTCAACATGTGCCCTCGGTGGAGTGTGTCTGCACGGTGTAATAACTGCACATACAGTAGGTTCTCTGTTTTAAGCACAGCAGTGTACATTGATAATGGCACTTTACTCCTCCTCCCTGACCATGTGTTCTGGAGTCAGCCACTGGTAAAACTTCACTGTGGGGATGTCTGTGTGTACTCACCCCACAGTAGCCTTCTTCATTGAAGATTTGAGGGGGCAGAGGGATGCCGTTGGCGGGCTTCTTTTCCTCAGGGACATTCTGCCTCATCCACATGCGGTTCTCCTCATTGCAGGCGATGTCCAGCTGAGTGTAGTCCACTTTAAGAGCCTCCAGGAAGCCGACCACATCTTGCTGCTTCTTCTTGATCTGGGATGGAGAAAAATAATAATAATAATAATAATAAATAATAATAACAATAATAATAAATAATAATAAAGATTACAAAAAGAGAGGAAGATACTTTATTAATCCCCAGGGGGAAATTCAATTTTTTCCAGTCTGTTGTGATACATGCCCAAGCCCAAAATACACACACATGCACAAACAGGACCTATATATGCATTAAATGGAGGGATGTCAGAGTGAGGGGACTTCCCATGAACAGGTACCCCAATTGGCTGGATTCAGAACCTTGCTCAAGGGCACCTCAGCAGAGCCCATGAGGCCAACTGACACTTCTCCAGCTAATAATCCCAACCCAAGTCATATAGATTGAGCTACTGCTGCGCCCAAAATGCAGTGATGCAGTAAAAATGCAATATTCTTGTGTTTCTTTAGGAAAGTACTTGTACACCATTTAAATACGACACCAAGGGTTGTGTTATACTTTCTCCTGGCCCCATCCCACTACATAAACACATAAACTATGGCTGGAACAATTAGTTGATTGGCAGAAAACTAACTTTTTTAATACTGATTAATTATTTATCAAGCACAAATGCAAATATATATCGCTGCATACTGAATATCTTTGTGTTTTGGAGTGTTAGTTTGACAGGAAATGTAAACTGAAGGTGTCATTTTGGGCTCTGGGAAGTCATGATGGTTTATTTTTGACTTTTTTGGTTACTATTCTGACAAATCAGTCTAAACAATTAATCTTTAAATGAAGAAAAAAATGATCAGGCCAATATTGAAAATTTCAGTTTTATAGTATATGCATATATGTATGTATGGATAGATAGATAGATGGATAATAGAGTTGGGAATCACCAGAGGATCCAAAATATGGTATTATGGTATTATTATTACAATATTATTGTGATTTTAAATATGTTTTGATAGTATTGAGCGTCTCCTGTCCCTTTAATGTTGCTTTTTTCTTCCATATTAAGGGTTTGCCTCCTATATAAGTGCCTGTCGTCCTCGTACTGCATCTCCTCGTCAAAGTCTCTCTCTAGATTTGGTTATTTATCAACCAAAAACATGTAACATTCCTGTTCACTGTTCTTATTCACTGTTTATTCAGCACCATCAAACATTCAACGTATTTACTGTTGTATTTCTGCAACTATGCTTTTTTGTCTGTTTCCCACTTTGTATCCTTGTATTTTGCTTACTATTGTGATAAAATATATTGCGATATATTCCCTTTTTTTCAAACTGCAAATTATTAACATCTGTTTTATCTAATAAGATAAAGTTTTCAGTCTGTTGATCTCACTTCAGCCATTTTTTTGCAGCAAAATGTATCTAGCGGACTGACAAAGCAATTGATTATATTATTCGAGTAGGCTTGTAATATTATTAATTTATATAATTTAAAAATCGTGCTCTGGTTGGCACTGTGTGACGATGCGATATTGCCACACAAAAATATTGCGATATTATGCTGTAATGATTTCCCCCCAACCCTAATAGATAGATAGATAGATAGATAGATAGATAGATAGATAGATAGATAGATAGATAGATATCCCAAAAATAAAATACAAAACCAGTGGGTCTGAATTTTCAAAATACACCAGTGCAGTCATGAATAGACATCTACTCATTTCTAACCACAGTATGTGTAACTTGCATCTATCCCTGGACACACAGGATGGAAAACACTGGAACATGCAAACAAATCCACCCAGAGGACAAAACAAAGTCTTTCTGCTGTGAGACAACACTGCTGGCCAACTGGGCCACCATGTCACCCCTGGACTGCTTCTAACTGCTTCTTTAGCTTTGCCTAAATTAGATTTAGAAGATCAATTCCCCTCCCCGCTGCAGTGATCACCCCACCTACTGTTTACACAATCACCTCAAGGTAAATCTAAATACCAAATAATATGAAAAGGCTGTTTCTTGATGCAATATCTCCAGCAGCACCGGTTAGCCTGTGTGGTCTCTATAACGGGGTCCATGACATGAAACACTTTGGGAGCCTGTTCTAGAAAGCTCTGCGTGGGAATCACACCGACTTGCGGGATAATTAAAGTCCTGTCGCTCTGCAGAAGTAAACACTGAGTATACATCAAGCCATGAACATGCCTGTTGATATACATGTGCGCAATTAAAAGCAAGTGACATTAATTTGGAGTTTTAGCGCTCCTGAATCGAGGTGAGCCAAAGTCCTGATCGGTATAAGCAGTAACAAAGTTGGCTCTAATGAGAAACGAGTCGCAGGCTGAATGCTTACCGCAGTGGATCCCGATGAGGTGGCGAGAAATACTTTGATCACCATTTTGTTACAATATATTTTGTAGAGTATGCAACAAGTAGGCTCTTAAAGGAGTAGTCGGCCTCCTCTATTATTAGAGCTCACCCAGGACGGAGACATAGCACTGAGATCACACACAAACACACACACACGTACACACACACACACACACACACACACACGGCTATTTTTGTCTCCGGGCTCCATTAGTGCAGGATTGGCGGGTTGGCCCCTAGGGGCGCAGCACCATACAGGCTGATTGGCAACTTCAGCTGTCTGTCGGCGCAGGGGACAGTGAAATTAGGCTCCAGCTCCTTGCTGAGTGCATATATGGACAGAAATAGCACTGACCAGCGCTATACGCTGTCAGGCTTTGGTTTCCAAACGCAGGAACTCGGGCCTGTTTGGGGTCCTTGCATAAGTCCCCCAACAAAATGGGAATTTGTTCACTTAATTCACACAAAATGATGGGTTCTCAACTTGCTTTGCCCAGGGGCCACTTTTGCAAAAATAACAGGAGACCAGTGGCCAGTTAATAAACAAACATTACTAATATTAATCAGTAGATTATATGTAATAAATTAATTACCTGTTTTCAACCTGTCAGCATTTGCTGACCTCATTCCTCTTTGCCAAAAAGCAAATCCAGTGGCAGCAGACCCACACAGATCAGATGTAGGCCTATGCAGGGGCGATGCAGGGGTGTAATATGAGACAGTGGGTCCCTGGGCACAGATATGCAATAGGCCCCACCACCTCTCCTACACTGGAGCAAGACACACAGACTTTGTGGTGGGTTTCCTCTTTTTAAAATTGTTTTGTGTCTCCCTTTTCCACCAAAATCAGCGCATGTACGCAGTTTTTTAAACACAGATAAACTGGCTAAAAATAGGCTATAGACTCCTTTCCAGTTAACTGTAGATCAGTGCTGTGTACACGGCTCTGCTGCAGAAGGGTATGCCAGTACAGGAGTAGAGAGGAGCACAATGAAAATGTTACAGTAGTTACTTCTTTTGATATATCTCTAACTTATTCTGTCTCTCAAAAATGATGTTCGAGTGCTGCTTGGGTGGAGACGAACGGTATTTTGTGGTGATGAATCATTGCATCTCACCGGTAAAGGAGCTAAAATTAGCACACACACCAGGGTGTTGTCTTCTCCTCAATGCCGATCGAAGCTGGAGGCGATAAATACCCATGACTACTGCAGAGTCATTTGACCCGGGTGTGAATGCTGATTAAAATCTTTCCCACTGCATTAAAAAGCCAGATGTTTGTGGGTGTTAGTGGTTTTTTTGTACAGTGGGAAAGGGGCTTTATAGTGTTTATGCATTTTTTGTGGTTCTGTGTCTCTTTGAGGTCATTTTGTGTCATTTTTCTCATTTTTTTAGTTATTTTGTGTCTCACTGCTGCTCCTTTGCAGTCATTATAAGTCTCTTTCTGGTCAGTGCATGCTGATGTTAGTGGCATCTTTCAGGTTAGGGCCACCGGGGCCCCTGACATGTGGCGGATCCTCCACTGGCACTTTTTTTTTAATAAACAAGCTCTATTTTTATGCTTTTTTATGCATGACACATTATCTAATTAATAATCATTTCCAGTGTGAATAAATTCACTTTCAATGTGAATTACAAAAATGGTCAAGGGGGCCACCCAGCACCCTATTGCAGGCCAGATTTCGCCCATGGGTTGTAAACTGAATATCACTGCACTAGAGGATGTTGTGATTAAGACACTGTTTATTTGACCCTTCAGGTGTCACTCTCTGCTGCTGTCCTTGTACAGAAAGCACAAGGTAAAAACTTCTTGACGTACAGTATATGTCTTTCTTAAAGCAAGCAATTCACTTTTGACTAATGTGTACTTTTTTAACATGGATAAGAGCCTCTCTTTCTTTCAGAATAAATTGTGGACACTGAAAATAACATTTGGATGAATGATGTGTACAAACATATAGCCTAATACTTTTAATCTAATTTTATATTGCAATTTTATGTGTTCCCCTTTTACTTTGTTTTTACCCCTGGTTTCCATGACAACTGCAAAAGTAGCTTCACAAAAAAAAGAAAAAAAAAAGCCCTCAGCCATTGGTGAAATAATCTCTGGTTAATTAGCTACTAGCTGGGTAAATATTTACAACCTGAATCATCAGTTTCTAACTGAAGGGAACAAAGCAAGATAATTTGCAAGTAAATGATGCTCTTATATTCTGAGGCTGTGAAAAAACAATGTTCCTGAGGTTCTTGGAGAGGTGGATGTTATTTCATGCTCCTCAGTCAGAGATAATAGGGAACAAAGACCAAAAGTCTTGTTATCACACTCTGAACAGGGATTTTACACATAGGCATCCAGTTTCACTGACCTCAGACAAGCAATTTAGGTTGGTTTATTAACCTCTTAAGTTTTTTTAATTGTTTCAACCACTACTAACCTACTTCATTTTGTGCAAGTTCACATTAAAAACGTTATCTATGTTTTCCTTGAGTTGTTCTTTTCTCAGTGAAGACCGGCGGCCATTATTTTCCCATTATTTTCTATTTACAAACCCACACCGGCGGCGGCTCGACGCGCGTCGACGTTACGCTATTTTCCTATTTTTCCAGCGTCGCCGCCCTTGAAAAAGCGCTATTTTGTACTTCCCAGCCTAGCGGACTGGAGTGTGCAATAGAAATCCGGTTGACGCCCCGCAGCGCGACGCTTTTTGTGTGTGTTGGGGGCGGCACTTGACTCGCGTCAATGACGCCGTCGTCATATGACGCCGCCGGTGTGTTTTGGCCTTGATGCAGCACCAACACTTCCAGGTGGTCTGACTTTGAAGACTAGGCTGACTCGCTTACACACCCAAGAAATTAACGCATCAGACAAGTGGCAGGGATCAAACACATGCAGAGGAAAAAAGTCATTCTATTTTGTGTGGTAGAACTTACATTGTTTATGTAAATATATTGGTTGCAGTTTACACTATCATAAGTTTCTCTTATTTGGGTAAAAACACACAAAGGCAACACAAGCAGACAAGTCTTAAAATTCCCTCCAGTCAATCCCCTGCAGGTTTCCAAGCCAGGGATCCAGTCTGGGACTTGAACTGCATCAGGGAGCTGAGGAGCCCCATGTGGGATCTGCAGCAGTAGCTTAGTGATGCCTGGACTGAAAACAAGCAGCTGAAGTGGCCTCACTTTTGCCACACGATGGCGCTGAAGCACTTCCAAGACTTTGAGGACAGCTTCTCACAGGTTGGTTGGTTTTGACTCTTTGGTATCATTGCTCAGATTTATTGCTTTTGGTGGGTACTCAATCTGAACCATGAATCCTTCATCTACTACTGCAGTTCTTTTTACAGTGTGGGATAGGAGGAGAAAAGTGACATGATGTATCCCTCTGACTCTGTTTTGTTTTGTGTGGACTGCAGATGTTTGGCACTTATTCATATAGATGTAGATTTAATCTTGTTTACATCTATGTATCGTCACTCATGCTAAGGGGGCTGTGTTTGTGTGTTTTCTCCACTGTGGGATATCTCTTGAAGCAGTGTAGGAGGTTTATGTTTTTGTGTGTTTAATGTTTGTGTTTATGTCTGGTTGATATTTATGTATTATGCTGTTGGATGATGGCAAATTGACATACCTGAATGTTTGGTTGTTCTTGGCTAATGTGTCTGAATAATCCCACAAGGGATGGCTCATGTAAATGGCTAGACATGAATAATAAGATATTCATTTATTCATTTTACTCCCATCTCAGATTCAAATTTCAAAAACTGCTCATTGGTCTCATTTTCCAGGCTGAAAGTCAGAATTTTTTTTTCTAATTCTACAATTAATGCCTGTGTGATTTCCCAACTCTAATTTCAGCAATTGACTAATTATTCCTCACATTATCTTGACCCCATCTCCATTTCCAGGTCCTCTCCACGCACAGCAGTGAGACCCCCGAGTCCTGCAGGGGCTGATCTGTGCGACCCGCTGTGACAGACCGGCGAGGCATAGAATATAATTTGCTAAGCAGCACAAAGACGAGTCTCCATCACCTACAGCTGCTCCGCTGGAGAGGGAGCAACTCACCTTCAGGCTGACCAGGGCCTCTGCAGGGCAGGAGGACAAGGACAAGAGGATACTGGTATGGAAAAACAGAAATGTGTGGGGGAGTCCAGTGTCACTCCAGCATTCATGGTGTATTATATTTAACACCAATACAGTGGGGATATAAATAGAAACAAGAATTTTTGTGCTTTAATGCTATACTCAAGGACTTGCAGAAGAATCTTGAGCCTCATTAAGTTGTGAAACAGTCACTGAACAAAGAAAGATCAGCAAGGTGAGAAAGGCATCCTGTGAGCAAGAGCAAATATATCAGCTTAACGAGGAAATTCAAGTAAATAAGAGTTGTTTCCCATGTGATATTCTCTCCAGCATTAGACCTGGCCTAGTCCTTGTTACTATACAGTGTTGTTTATTGTGTGAGCTTCTGTCTCAAGTGATGGTAGCAGTTCCACAGGGGTTTGTATCCCATATTAACAATGTTTCGCATATCCCATTCGATGTCATTTGTGGGAGAATTTGGTTAAGATGTCTGGATCAATATTTTCCACAGGAGATTGCCCATTAGTGAACCACTGATTCTGAGGGCTTAATGCTTCTGTTTGATGGTGTAATCCCTGCTCGGTGGTCTCCAACGACACTGAGAAAACTAAACGATATAAATTGAAGTTGTATACCAGCATTTCCCAGATGTAGATTTTCAAAATATCCTAGCATTTTAATATTACAAACTGTCACACGGTTGCATTAGCTGCACATGTAAGAGAGATATATGGTATCAGACTGTGTAAAGAAGTGGTAACACACAATATTTGCTCCCACAGATTCCTTAAAGTAACTCAGTTTGGCCATAACTAATTCATTAGTGTTTGTAAACTTAATTTCAGAAATTCACAAATTGAAAAAAAACAAAGGACATACAAGACATACAAAATAAAAACCACAATTCATCATTCAATTTTTAATTTGTTGTGGCTTAGTGGGTTTTGTCTAAGAAGTCTTTTTTAATTTACAGGCAGTGAAAACAGGATGGTTCAAAGAGATGGATTAGTCCTCCCCACTGAGGCTTCGAGTCTTTTGAAGTTAGAATATGCGGAGAGTGAAGAGAAGCTGGAAAAGCAGGGGAGCTCTGTGAACTGGGTATGAGTCAAATATTGTGGTGTATTTTCACTATTTTAATGTCGCATTTTACTTGTTTACCAACATCATCTACAAGAGTTTGGTGATTTATGCTCAATGTAATTGTGACAACAGGACATTTGAAGACATTTCCTCATTTCTAGAGACTTTTTAGTGTCTTTTTTTATCATTAATTTAACATTTTGCTCTTATACTGATAAAGCCTTTGCATCATCAGGAGTCTTTGGTGATAGATCATCAAGAAACAGAGGTTTCTGCAAATGTTACATTGGAAGAGAAACACCAACAGGAGACTGAGACATGTGCAGGTGGGCACTCTATGTTATGTACACAGTATAATAACTAACGATGCACACGTGCAAAGTGACTGACAGACAAAATATCATATTGGCGGGGGCATCATAGTGGGGGGAAAGTGGGATTGATTAACCAGATTACCTGGGTATCAATGTGAGTGGGGGCCATAAATTTTCTAAATAATTAGTGCCAAAACTAAACTAAAATTGGCTGAATAAATCTGCTGAAAGACCGGACTTTGAGGCCCCTCTCAAACCTCGAAGGTGTACATGGTTTCGTCCACCACTGCATTTGGATTCATCTCTACATGCAGCTGGAGCACTAACATACATAGTATGTATAACATCATGTCTTTCCTTAAAAAAGGGCAATTGGGAATCTAAAAAAAGAAAAGTAAGGGAAAGAAAGCAAACTGACTTTGTAAATAAAAACAAGAAAATTCCAAAGGTGCGTGAGAGACATGGATCAAGAGAGGAAGGGTGGAGGGCCCACAGAAACTGCTTAGGCATAGGGCCCAGAATTTGGTACCATGCATAGTGGTAGTATCCACCAGCAACTCTCACACAAGACAGCAAACACAGAAAGCAAATTTAGAGTGGGTTTTTTGTAAAGGAGCTGATTTCATTCAGTATTTAGCAGATTTGTTGACCAGAAGGAGCCCACAACATCAAACTGTGGGAGACTGTGCCGCAGAGAAAGAGGCATTGGAGGCCCCACAGGTGTTAGAAGAAGGCAGAAAACTGAGGAACATGAGGGCAAGACTTCCTACATTTTGGAAAAGCCTATGGTTACAGCTAAAGCCAAAAGCAAGGGATATAATTTCCTCAAAGAGTGCCAGGAGCCCAGTCAGGGTGGAGACCTTCAGCTGCAGGATTCATGAACTGAGCAATACAGAGGGATGTGCAATATATGTCTTATTTATTTATTTTCTAAAGGTTATGATCATAGAGTTTCATTCGTGTCTTGTTGTTCTGTGTTTTAGTTATATTTACATTATGTTTATTGTTTACTGTGCTGTACCACAAATCGCCCCATTAAAAAGTTTATCCAAGTCTAAGGACTTGTTTTTGCTTGTGAACTCCCAATTTATAACATCACAATGAATAAAAGGTTTTCTGCTGTTTTATTTTCATAAAAAAAGCATTTCAACATTTCCAAATCATTGTTTTCAAAACAATACAATCAAAACATCTGCGCCATTAACTTAAAATCATCATAACAAAAACAACAAAATTAAATATTACCAAATAAAGTGTTGCAATATGAAACAGCCAACGCCAAAATGCACTGCATTTTTACACACTGACCTGAAGCAACTCACAAAAAAATGACACAAACGGCTTTCATTAACTAAATGTTGAGCAATAAGTTAGAAAACCAGTGTATCTGACTCAGCTGACGTCTCTAGCTGACCGCATGGAGACCCAGTGTAACCACTTTGTTGCAAACCACCAGCCAGCATGTGATTCCTACTCCACCTGAAGGGAAAGAACAGCTCTGTCAGTGAATGAATAACATAGGAAAATACTGTATTTTATATATACATCAGAATTGTGTTTGAATCAGTATAAAAGAAAAGGTATTGAAGTTATAGAAGACTTGTTCTGTGTGTTGTTTATGAATATTTTTTTTTTTTTCTTTAATGAAGTATAAAAAATAGGTTTATTACCTGCCACTCCTGTTGGGAAGGCCACAAGGCGCTCCACTGGGGCAATCCATTTACTGGGGACCACCGTCACTGGATCAGAGTAATACTTCCATATCAAAGAGATCATCAGAGCAGCCTGACGAATAAAAGAAAGAAATATGTGGGTATACAATACGTATTGAGTATTTTATCAGCTCGTCTTTAAGCTAGTATTATCAACTTCTACATTCTATTTCTAAAACAGTCAGAACAAAGTACTCCACTAGCATTAACTGGAGGTTTTTGTATCAAATAGGTCTATGCTTATATTTTTATACTGCAGGAGCTCTGTGTGTGTCTCATAGTTACACTAGAATCTACAACCACATGCATTTGATCTTCTTATAATTCCCACCTACCTGCAGTATGTAAAACACAATGTTCACGACCCATTTCATCTTGGCTTGTTGCGCTGTTCTTGATTTCACTGCAAATGTGAGGAAAAACACAACTATTAGACTCAACACATTGACTTTTGTGGTGATGCAGCCTTCTTAAACTCTAACGCAGACCCTTTAAGCACGCTAATCAGAGTATTTTCGCCAGTTCATTTAACTTCATTATTTGAATGATCAGAAAATCAGAGATATGGGCAGCAATTCAGAGGTGTGAATTCAAACTAAGCACCCATTTTTGTGCATTCCCAATTACTGTGTTCACCCAGCCATAGGGGAACAGAGCAAGTAGCACAGCAGTCTGCTATCTGTAAGATAAAAAAACAACAACAACAAAAAACATAGAGGAATGATCAATACATCACATTATGTAATGTAATGTATTGAAACAGTGGGGAGTTCCCCTTGATGACCACAACAGTAAAAACTATGAGTCAGTTGTTTGGGAGCCGTGAGCGCAATTCAACTTGCAGAAAACAGTGACTGGTTCTTGAAGACATATACGGTACAACATAGGCTGCACAGCTTGGTCATGGAAGATGTAATATTTTGAGTCACTGTGCAGTTAAGACAAAGAAATTATCAAAACGGAAACAATCTGAACTAGCCTTTGGTCTGCGGTACATATGTACTATACTGAAATTGTGATTAGCCACTTCCTGTCTGTGCACATGATAATCCTGAGGCAGAGGGTGAAGGACAGCAACAGGCAGCAGCTGTTCCCACTGAACACACAGTAAGTATGTTATCCAAAACCTCCTGTCGCTTCCTACGGTTGGTGGTTTTAATGTGTGAATCTGCTGTAGTAGACATGCACAGGTGTGGAAGTCACAATATGTGCCTTCTACAGTAAACGTGACAGTGTGTCGGCACATAGCTTCCCCCGCGCTTCCAAAAGAAATGAAGCGGTAGACCTATATTGGGTAGAATGAATAACAGGAACACCAATACAAAACAATTAACACTCACTTTCTTACGTTTATGTTCAATTTTGATTGGTATTTAGCGGTGGTGTGGACTTAAAGTCACAACCTGGACATTATTTAGACGTGAGTCACAAATTTGATGAATTCAGACTCAACTTGACAAATCAAAAAAGACTTGCAACTTGACTTGTACTGTACACCAATAGGGCTGCAACGATTAGTCGACTAATCGCTGACTAATCGACTATTAAAATAATCGGTGACTATTTTAGTAGTCGACTAATCGGTGTGAGTCTTTTTTCATAGAAAAGTACCCCAAGATACTCTTATTGCAGCTTCTTACGTTCAAATATTGGCAGCTTTACACACTCTCCCATGACGGTGAACTAAAACCCTTTGGCGTGTACGAAACAAGATATTAGATGACATAGTTTTGGGGTTTGGGAGAGACAGAAATTTTTCAACATTTTAACACATTTTCGATAAAATGATTAGTCGACTAATTGAAGAAATAATCAACAGATTAGTCGACAATGAAAATAATTGTCAATTGCAGCCATAAACACCAATGACTCGTGACATCATTTGGACTCGAGTATTCGCAATCCACTTTTATGTTGTCCTGTCCATGTTAAATGTCTTCTTTCCTATGTTTTTTTACTGCGCTTGGATTCGTGAGTAACAACACTTTGTTCTCTGTATGCTGCTGTATATAGAGAATGACAACAATGAATTGAATTGAGCCTTTTGATTTGAAGTACTTGATACCTTCCCCCACACCCAAAGATTAAAAAGTACATTGAGCTTGGCAATGTTGTGTACAACATAATAGTGCTCTATTTACTATTTTACAACTTTAATTTCTGCATTTTACAAAACAAAGTAGGACAGAATATATAAAATTCACTGTGGTGTTACTGCTGAATAGTGCCAAGTTAGTGATTACATTTATGTGCACTTGTTTTAACAAGTAAATACAAATTTTAAAAAGCATTCATGTGTTTTGTAAATGTATTTTACTGTAACTTTGTTGTTAAAATGTCATTACACTTATTGAAAAGCACATTATGACTTGGTTAGGATGGGAAACTCAAAGTTTAGGACCTAGGATTTGACTTGGGACTTGAGTGCAAAGACTTGTGACTTAGGCCTACTTGTGACTTGCAAAATAATCACTTGCTCCTACCTCTGTATTAAGAAGTCATAGTATGTGGTTTTGCCGTATGTAGATGTTCCTGATATTGAGAATTTAATGCAGCAGAACTGCAGTCTCTTAATATTGTATTGGACTTATTTGGGGCTACTATCACATTGTCCTTTGCCACAGTAACTAGTTTTGCCCCTCACCATGTGTTTTCAGCTTGTCTGTCATCTTGTTGATTTTGCGCTCCAGTCTGGCATATCTTGCAAACTCATCCATCATGCTAATTGAGGCCTGCTCCTTCTTCATCTCCTGGATTTCAGCCCTCATCTCACTCTCCTGCTCAGCATCTTTCTGCACCATCTTGGAGAGCTGAAATGGGGGACAAAGAAAAGCACTGAGACACAGTTTCACTGTAATGTATGGCGACTGTACACAGTTCCTACACGTTCCTGCAAGACAATAAAGTGTATGAATACATCCTCCCCTGAGTTTAAGGGTAGTGTTTTTACATTTTTGCTAAGCTATCTTTAGCAGTTACACAATTCCCTCGCGTTACAATGGGCTCCATACATTTGAACAATGGTATAGCACAAAATGTTCTCCCCTTATGTGCAGTGGCTACAGCGGGATCCCGGGAAAACCCCACCCTCTGAGTGTCTGAACGGCTACGTTGTTTCAAGCTAGCCAGCTATACATGAAGCTAGCATTATTAGCATTAGCTTACAGTAAGCTAAGCTAATCAACAATAGTCTGCTGTGTTATATGAGGCGACAGGAATCACACTAACACTCGTTTTATGAAACTATAAATGTACATTCAATGCGAATATATCTCTTATTGAATAAATAGCCCCTACTTACGAAAGAGGAAATGGTCGGCAGGAGTGTTTTCATGAGATTACACAGGAAAACCGACCCCAGCACAAGGAACCACGCATAACCGGACGCCATGTTTGTTACTCCACCGCTCAGCCTCCTTGTTGCAGCTGTGGAGCTGCTGGACTGTGAAGTTACATAATAATTAGGCTAATTTAGCTTATTCTGGTTGTTACCTGTGATTTTGCTTTTAAATACGAGGTCTTTTCAGCACCAATAAACCAATTTGCTTAATGTTTTTATTATGATAACTGTATTTAAATATGATTTAGTGAAATGTGTTGTCTTCATGGTGTCTGCAGCTGAAGTAATCTAAATGCTTGATCTGTTGCTTTGATAATGTATGTATGCATGTGGGGGGTTTTTAAAGCAAGAAAAAACAGATCACACAGTTTAATTTGCTTCTTTATATTTAATGCCTATGCATGTTCATTCTTATCTAACAGCCCACAACATTTACTCGGTTGTCATGCATTTTCCAAGTCGTGCACACACACACCCTGCCTGGGAACAGGCTGTGATTAAAAAGAGAGAGTTGGCTCGGCCTGACTGATTGGCACACCATCCTGCCCACACAGGTAAGATGTTTTGGTTCAAAAATGTGTTGCCTCGACCTCAAAGCCAATCGCTGGATGCAAGGGGCGGGGATTGCTCTCCCTGCTAGGTTGGTAGGATAAGGGATAAAATATACAGAGAGGGGGATCCAATCCGGTTTGAGCTAGTTCTAGTCCTGGACGGACATTTATGTTAAGTTACAGACTGCTCTGGAGGCAGAAGTGCACGGCTGATCCACATTTCATTTAGTCATTTCGCTTAGTCAACTGTGAAAAGCTGTGCCGTTTTCCTTTTACCTCTACTGTAGGCCACCACCTGAGCAACAATGGGAAGGAAGAGTAAAGTAAGTTAAAATGTGTGCATTGTGTCAAATATGATACATTTCCAATGTTTCTTAACATTTGGTGTGTTTTGCTACAATATATCTTTTCACACTTGCATGCGCTACAGTGTCACGTTTAAAATACTTGCTACAATGTGTGTGTGTGTCCATGTGCATGCGTAAAGTCCACCTTGCTGCGCTCAGGTCTGTCGTGGCTGCCCTGTTGATACAGGGAAGTGGCGCCTTTTTACTTAGCGCTGTGCAACATGCTTTATCGTCGAACAAGTTTGCAATAATGCAAGGCCTCCTCTTATATGACTACGTGCTAGTATTTGTGCCATAACGCACATTTAGCCGTGGTTTAATCTGGTTTCAGTGTGTGCTCAGATCAAACAAAGGGGTGTAACCACCGTCGTTGAACAGGTTGCCATTTCAAGGAAATTCCTTGCGTAACTGGTTTTTTTTTTTATATATCCGAACTGATCGAGGTTTGTAGGCCATGCGTCGTTATTCGAGCAGGATTTTGCACTTAGAATAAATGTCGAGTTGTTTTATGCGTATTTGCAGCGCACAGTTTTATGACCTCTGCCTGCGCGTACTGTAAAGCTGGTGCGCGTCACCCTTGAGGTGTTCAGGCTTTTCTCGTCATGGCAGCTGATTTATCCTCGAAAGACAAAACAGCGACACATTTGGTCGCAAGCTCCCAGAATTAGTTTTATAAAGCAGCTGCGAGGTTTGGTGAGGTTTGGAGCATTACGCGTAATCAGCGTATTAATGCAGGCCTGTGGGAGCGCATGTGGACGCACAAGGACCACACTTCCCTCTTACCTACAAAGTACCTACAGCTCCATGCTTACTCAACAAACAAAAACATGTCGGTCTCTTGATTGATGCAAACACTTGCTTGGCGGGAAGAAAGTAGAACTAAAGCTCTTCAACTTACAGACGTGTTGGGCTCCCCTCCCCACCGTAAGGTTGCATAATGTCTTTGTGACTGTAGGGGAGGCAGAGGTGCCCATCCCCCCTTTGTGCTACACACCCACTTTAGCTCACTCATGAATGGTTGTTATTCCCGGTTTTTTAATATCTTTCTCCCTATCTTTCTTTCACAGGCAAACAATGGAGAGGCATGCACTGAGGTGAGCGTGCAAGGATCTGCTCGCAGACTGACCCAAACTGCTCTCGACACCCCAACTTTCACCCAAATGAACATTTTGTTCTACTTTGTGTCAAGACTCAAAAAAGATCCTGGTTGATACCAGGTGGCTTTTTTCATACATTAGTGCTGCCTAGTTTTGACCCTGCAAATGAGGAACTGGGGTTTTGAGGGTGAAAGTGACAATTAATTGGATTAAATATGTGTGTTATGAGCCAAGCTTCCATTGGGGTTGAGGACCTGCACTGCCTCTAGGGGGCGCAGGTTGACATGAAGTCCAAATTTGCTGCTTTGCTCTTTTGCTCAGTGCCATGATTTTAAGTGGTGTGTGACACAGATTCTCAGAAGGCAACAATTCATGTTCGTTCAATAGCTAAAACACTATTTTGCTTCAAGTCCCACAATGCAATTTTTCATTTTCCCCCAAAGAGGATGGCACAAAGTACACTTCTTCAGCATTACCAGTTATTTCTTAGCACCTGAAATCTCAGTTTACTATTCCCCATAGACACCCCAGGGTGACTGCCTATTTTGAATGGATAAAACTTAAGCTCATTCATGATCGGTGGTTGTTGCCATCTTTTTAATTTCCCTCTCCCTTTCCTTCTCTTCAGTCAAACAATGGAGAGGTTAGTATTAACTCATAAACTAACGCAAACAGACCTAGACGCATTACCTAGCACCCAAATGAACATTTTGTTCTATATTTACCGTGTGCCTGTTGATTGTGATTGTGAATGATTGTACACAGACATTTAGTGTGTTTCATCAAGCTAATTTGCAAATAGTATGCTTTTGATGGACACAATATAGATGTACAAGTATTCAAAACACTTCTGCTAAGTCTTGCTCACCCTTAGTCTGGTTAGAATTGAAATGTAGCAGTTGATGCATTTGATGGAGATGCAAGGACTGTTAAACTGATGTATAAATAGTTTTATTTCTTTATCGCCACACTCGTCATCTCCTACATCATGAGGAGACAACATAAATGACAAAACAAAAATTTAGAGGCGCTCATTACCTCCTCTGTGCTCAAGACCCCTCCCTAGATGGAGAAAAATAGTTTCATTATAAATTGTATGGCAAACATGTGTTATGTGGACAATAGTTTCTAATGACTGAACTAATATCAAATAATTATCTTGTGTTTTTCAGCAGCCACAGCGCAGGGCATCTAAAAGGATACAGGCGGTAAGTTCTGCAAGGATCATGCCATTTTAAACATCTGTGCCTATTCTACTATTCCTTACTATGCATATGCTGTTGGCATAATATGATGTGTGTGTGTTTTGCAGAGAGAGGAAACGCAGCAAGAACAGGCACCGGTAAGAAATCTAGTTTCATCAGTGGACCAGCACTGTATTCATTTAAAATGCACAGTTTCATTATTTATTGCACACACTGACAGTGCGTTTCATGCTCCTTGGTTTGTTTTTGACATGATAGGCACCTGCCAAGACCAGCAGAAAGGCAGCCAAACAGCAAGCAAAGCCAGCCAAGAAAGAGGAGAAGAAAGAAGAACCCGAGGTTGAGAAGGAGGAAGCTCCTGCAGAAAATGGAGAGGCCAAAGCTGAGGAGGTAAAACAAGCTTCCCTCTTAGTGCCTCTTGCTATGTGAAATTTGCACTGCAGCAACATGAGGAGGACTTAAGTTACAAAGCATGTTCTCTCCATCCTTCAGGAGGCTCCGGCAACAGAGGACGCACCTGAAGCAGAAGAGGTAGAGGAGAAAGCTGAGGAGGAGGTAAAGGCCGAGGAGGAAGAAGAAGAAGAGGAAGAGAAAGCAGCGGAGTAGTAGTGACACCTCAAGACTCACTTGCCAGGGCTCCCTGTACATTGTTTCTTGTACAATGCAGAGAATATTTTTATCTACTATTTTCATAAGACAGTTAATGTTTTTAGGCATGTGATTGCAGAAATGCATTTTTAAAAATAATACAAATTCCACTCAGTTTCATGGCTTCTGTGAAGGGAAAGTGTCGGTCGTTATGTTGGGGGTTTTTTCCTTATTGAGTTCATAATTGTACTTGTTTTTCTCTCTCGTCTCTCCGGCTCCTTATTTTGCCTTTTAGGTTGTAGTTCCGCATGACACGAAGTCGTGCCTATATCAGGAATTTGATGTTCAACTCTGGGAGAGTTTACCTGAGACATTCCCGAGGCATCTTGAGGGATTTTGTAACCTGTACTGTTTTGGAATTTAATACATCGTAATACTGTGTGTTTGATAGGGAATAGGATGATTGAAAGTTTGAGAGTTGTGATCTTTGCCGAGTTAAGTCTTGTTCACAACGTTCACTTAAATCGCGTTCACTAGTACTGGACTTGGTTGTGTTTGTTGTTGTTTTGTTTTTGTTTTTTTGTTTTGTTTATGCTGTCAGTTGATGGTACATTTGAGGTTGGTTAGACTGACCCATACACTCAGCTGTACTCAAAACACAGCGCATTACAGAGCTAATCATACTCATCATGGTTTATTCTTTTAGAATTACTGTGTTTTCACCTCAGTCAATAGTTATGTATATGCCACATATTTGTGGCTTTATACAGTGCGGTTTTTGGGATTTCTTTACCAATGTACAGTTTCCTCATTTTTTTAAAAAAAAAGTAAAAAAAAAAAGAAAAAATTGTTTCTTTGTTATGAATGGTATAAAACGCCAATTAAAGTGGGAATTCCTCTCAAGTGTCTGTTTCTCATCAGCTTTGTGTTGAATTGCGTCCTGTGTACAGGATAAATACTCGTTTTAGATGTCTGCCTTTTTTTTTATACCTGAAAAGAATTATTGATGCTATTTTTAACCACAGTGAGAAGTAGGTTATAGTTGTGATTCTAAATGTTTCACTTCAATTTGAAACCTGTGTTCAGTATACTTTTTAAGAACTAGTGGGGATGGTTGATCAGAAATACTTCATTGATTCCCTAAGGAGAAATAATGATCCAATACAGTTGCTTTGATGCAAGGTATAGAGAATTATAAGAAAAGTGTAAATATAGAGCAATAACTAAAAGTAGAAATAAAATGTGCATTATGCTACTATGTTTAATACTAAAACAGGACAAAGGATTGTGTGAGGACTGTTAGGATGACAGGTGTAATTGAAATTCTTT